AGTAAGCTCCATTCTACTTTAATGAAAAATTTGAATTCAGAACTTGTTTGGGTTTTAGGTTTGATCGCTTTGGTTAAGTTGTGGGTTTTGGTTTAGCTGACACTGCTGCAGTGTTTCTTTCATGATAGCTGTATTAGCTCAGCTCTCTTGGGATATATGAAGCATGTGCCAGCCAAAGGAGTTCTTCTGCCAGCTTCTGTATGTGATTAGCTGAATTGGAAAACAAAACAAAGAAGGAAAACTAAAAATCTCAACAAAACAAAAAACAACCCTAATCTGTCACTTGTAGTTGTACCCGTGTTATGATTTTTATTGTCATAGTTGCTTAAGGAGGCGGAGAGAAGCAGACGTATTTTTCTCATATTTAGAGGACATATCTTATTTGACTATTTGTTGTATTGTCAAACTAATCTGAATTTTGGCCTAAAGGAGTAGGAGGCAGATTCACTTGAATTGAAACAAGTCAAGTAACAGTAATGGTCTCAGACATACTGTATTGGTTTAATTCAGCATAGGCATGTGAGAAAATAACTGGTCCTACATGTAGGCTACTGTTGTAGAAAGGGGAGGGGTAGGAGGGAAAAAATCATATTTCTTAGTGCCAAAGACAACTTAGAACATAAAATGTGTGTGTTTGTTTTTTTTTTTTTAATTATTATTACTTTACACAAGCTTAACTACGTTCTGCTGAAATTTTGTATCTTATGCGTACAGAAAAATTTCTCTGACAGCCAACGCAACATTTCTGCTAGACAGCACTGCTGAAATAGCTGTGCCTATGTAACTCCAGGAGTAGACGCTTTTCCTGGTATTGTCAAAATTATGTGTGGGGTTAAGTTAGTGCAGCTATTCTGTATGAACAAAACTCAGGATGGACAAATGCTTCTAAATTTCTCATCCTTCCCTCAGTTGTATCTTCCATTTAGCTTCTTTGTGTTTTTCAGATGTTTTTCATATTTATTTACAATTTCCCCAATTCTTAATCATTGTCTTGACATGTTACCAAGCTTTTGGTCAATCATAAATCACTGTATAGCACCAAATTCTCCATACAATCATGTGGAAAGAAGTCAAAACAGCTGCTATTTTCTGTGCAGTTACATATTTTGGGGAAAAAAAAAGTTAAAAAGGTCCAGGAAATGGAGAAAAAAAATACTTGTCATTACACCTGATAGGTCTGGGCCCACCTGTAGAGTATAAAGCTAATTATAATTATAAAGCTAATTATAAAAGACTGATTGACACAAGTTAATGTAGAGCACTACAACTTCTCATTTACAGAAGTTCTACTACACCTTTTCCGTCTTTCTTTATATTTTCTTCCATACGTGTGGACAGAGTATGTCTTAAAAATGCTTAGGTGCAGCTTCAGTTCACTTCTTGAACTTGAATCATGAGTAAGACATAGTGGCATCATGGAGCTTTTTGAGCATGTTTTCTCAAGGTTTTTCTACGTTTTTAACTATGTAGTTTCTTGATAATGTTTTACTCTGTCCACTCAAAAATATGCTATTTTCAATAAATGTAAGCTTTATAAGCAAGCATTCCAAGGTTATTAAGACTACATTGTATGTATCGCTCCTATTTTTACATCAATGTCATTTGGCCGTTTTCATAGCTGAGGCAAGTCATTAATTCATTATTAGTATATGCTCAACTGCTGTTCAAAATCTTTCAATTTCTGCCTAGCTTGTTAACCTTAGCTCCATTTGTGCAAATCGTTATTGCAGCCAGTTTTTTATTTCTTCTTATTGACAGTTTGACCTTCACATTTGTTGAAAATACAGAGGTCATCTGGAAATGTATTCTAGTTTTTCATTGTGTCATTGACCCTCTAAGATTTGTGCTAAGTGACAAATTACCTCATCTTTGAATGAGATTCAGTCCAACTTCAATTTCACAGGGCATTATTTTGTGTACAGTTTTAAAATAAACTTCATTTCCTTGGCTCTTTTAGGAATGTCTAAAGAGAACACGTCAGTGGCCATGTTATTTGTGGTATCTGTGGTTTTGTTGTAGAAAGGAATTATATTTAATTTGTTCTGACAAGCTCTCTTTCTTACGCTGATGCTGGTTCATGTATATAAAATCCCAGAGCTCTGTCCAGTCCACCTAACCTCAGCTGCCTGATGAAAGCACCTTAGTTAGCAGCATGTCCAATCTTCCCTGGCTGTATGGTAGGAGGAGGCAAGTCAACTGCATTGTTCTCTGGAGATCTAAATCAGGCTCCATACGCATCTCTTGCTACTGGCTCTGCAGGCAGAGTAGAGTGACAGCTGTTCAAATTCAGGTAGCTCTGTAACAATGCCTGAAGGCACTGGGGATTAATACAGGCTATGGGAAGGTGACGTGCTACCCAAGAGGACTGGGAACTGGAAGGAGCTGGGACACTCGACTAGCCTGCCCTGCTAATTGAGAGCCCTGACAAAAACAGTGGCAGTGGCTTCAAATCAGATACCTGAAATATTACCTCCTCAGGCCATCTGCTAGCTCCTCTGGTGAACCTTGTTGCATCTCAGGCATGATTGACTTCTGAATGGCATTTTAGCCTCACTTTGATTTAAGATGATTGGCTGTAAACTGGAGCAGGCCCAGGACATCTGCCCCAGGCAGATTAGATGGCTGGGAGTGCTACCTACCTGCTATGGTTATGCTGGCAAAAGTGTTCTCCAGTCTTTAGTCTTGTGAATGTTTTTGTGTATCTTCCTCACACAAGGTTAAATTGATTTTGATAGTAATGCTGATGAGGTTAATACTGCCTTTCATTTTGGGATCTGGGAGATGTGAAGAATTATGGAAGTAAAGTGTTATCCAAATACGTTCAGCTCTTTATTACAGCATTCTGGTATCTGTTTTGGGGAGGACTGAGGAGACCATGGGCCTACCTTGTAGCTCAGTGACGCTTTCTCATTCAATAAATACTTAAAATTCAGACTAGGAGGCATTTGTGGGGAAAACAGTGCTCATCCACTGCCCACATGACATGGTCTGATGCTGTGTTTTTCAGTATTTTTCTGTTTGGGGAAACCTTCAGTAATCTTTGGTGGACCTTTTTGTGTTAAATTTCAAACTATTGACAACATACATGCTCTGATAAGCCCATAAATTACTGGCTGTTGTTCTGGTACCTTTCTGTTCTGACGTTCATTGGAGACTTCAGGTGAAGCGTTTCAGTGAGTTCTGCTGGCTTAGCAACCTGATGCAACTGAGCCCATCGTTCAGTGAGACCTGGAAGGAAAGATCACATATCCAGGAGGGAAGGGATAATAGCATCATCCCAGCCAGCAGTTTGATTGACTTTGGCTTCTGTCAAATAGCTGCCAAAAACTACTCTGCCATAAAAGCTGTCAAGGTAGCTTCAGTCCCCAAGCATTTCCTGTTTCCTTCCTTTGTTCTCACCTGTGTAGCTGCTTTGCTGAATGTGTTACATGCACATGTGGCTGTGCAGTGAGTGGGACCACAGAATAAAGAGCTGCAGCCAAAAGTTAGTTTTTAGACAGATTTTATTTCTCAATGGCTTTGTGTGCAGCCACAGAAACACTTCTACTAGCACAAGTGAGTAGGGAATTGAAAATACTGGAGTGACTTTGGGGAGGTTTCAGTTATTTGTCTTTATGAGAGTGGTGACTTCTGACCCCTTGGGTTTTATCTATCATTTAATTTTGTTACACACATCAAAAACTTAAGAAAAAATGAAACTTTTTTTTTTTTTTTAAAATCTGTTAATCTTTCACTTGTTTTGTCAAACTTGTTTCACTGAACTATGATTGTCAATTGCAGCTGATTGCATGCTTGTGTTTTTCTGTTTTTGAAAAACATTAGTACTTTGTAATTAAGCTGAGCTTTCTGTGTTCATTAGGAGTCATTTAAATTTTGTTCTGAGAAAATAAAGTTGCAAATGCTCACATTTTCACCTAGGATATTTCTGATGAGCTTGTCAGTGATTTTTTTAAATATATTTTATTTTTCTTAAGTGTATTAATAACTTTTTAGCATAATTGGAGGAGTGAAACAGACTAGAAGATACACAATATATAGGCAGACCTGTTTCAATTTCCTCTCTCTGTCTCTCAAGAATTTTTTCAGTTCATAGCCACCTGGGCACACACCAGGGCTACTTAAGTTGCTGCTATTTAGTTTAAGCTGCTTGATGAGCTTACACTAAGATAGCAAACCACGACTAAGAGCAGCTGAGACACAGGCACATGTTCCCTTCTGGCCAGCTTTGTTACATGGAGTAATAACTTTGGGCATAGATTGTAACTGTGACTTATTAAACTGCTCTAGTAATTTGCTTGGTGAATGCAAGAGCTAACTGCGAAGGACACTAAAAAATTGTGTCACTTTCTTTTTGTTACTCTATCTAGCTGTCAAAAATTACTACTTGAGTGGTAGCCTTGTCTTAATTTTATCTTTTTTACAATTCAATTTAGCATGTACTACACACGACTAAGTATTTGAAGTAATATTATTTTCAGACTATTGGACAATTTGATTTTTTCTATTAACACATTTCAGTAGGTATATTTAAATATTGGAAATAGGAAGAGTGTATGACCTTGTCATTTATCATGTTATAAATTCTGTTGTTTATCTTTCTAAATTGCATTGTGAAGTTGTCAGAAATTGTTATTTTTATTCTTCTTTTAAGGGGTATTGCAGAGGTTTGCATGGAACAGTGCTCTGTGCAAATTCTGTTACACTACAGAATGTAATTGTTGTTACACTTCAAAAGATACTAAAATTTAAAATTATATGAATGGCCAGAATTCCATGGGGGGAAAAAATGTAATGTTAATCTAAATTAATATATTGAGAATTCACTTAACAGTGGCACAGCTTAGCAAGTCTATGATTCCAGTTTTGTAAGTGACTGGATGAAAGGCAATTGAGAATTTTTATTCTATTCAGTGGTGGAGTATGAATGACAAACCGTATCCTTGTCTGAATGTTGTTCATTGATATGTACTCCTTAAGAGTGTTGCTTGTATCTGTTATAGATCCTGGCTCTGTCGAACGCACAGCACAAAAAAGGAAGTTTCCCAGCCCTCCACATTCCTCTAATGGTCACTCACCACAAGATGCATCAACAAGTCCTATAAAAAAGAAAAAGAAACCCGGTCTATTGAACAGTAATAATAAAGAGCAGGTAAGAGAAGTCATGGTCTTGTTATCCTAGGATGTGAAACAATGAAGGATTTAGAGACAGATGAATAGATGCCATTTCCTCATTAGGAAACACAGTTTTCATACTATAAGAAGTATACACTTGTGGGTGTAGGAGTTTTTTAAGTTGGATTTGGGTGGGCTTTATTTTTTATTCTGTGGACTTTTTTTTTTTTTAAGAGGGAGTACCTGTGTCCTGCTTTATTTCATAAAACTAACAAGACATAACCAGTAAGTGTTATTTCGAACAAAAGGATTATAAATTAATATAGAAATAATAACAACAACACTAAAAACTCTCATTAATTTAAACCATTAGAAGGAAGTGTTTGGGGACACTATCTACTAGATTAAGAAAGATACCACAGTGTCAGTGGGAATCTATTCTCATTTCTACTACCAATTATTAACAATAATCCAGCTGTTCCCTTGCTTGGTACTATGCAGATTCCCTCTCCTTTCTTTTAATTTGCAGACAGTATACACTGCTATCAAACTAGATGAAACAAATGCTGGCAGCATTTTTCAGTTTTCATGTTTGAAACACTATTTTCAGTGTCTTCTGAATACTGAGTTCATAGCATTTGTTGTAGCTCTTAGAAGAACTCCAGAGGACTTTGAGAAATTCTGATTCAATGTATGATGCAAGTGAAAGAATTATGTGAATTATGTTGAACACCAAATGCTAGAAAACAGCTGTATCATCCTGGAACAGATTACATGAAAGCAATCTTTAGCCCTACTGAAATTATTTCTCATCTAATTTACAGATAACATACCTCTGTGTTGTTCAAAGTCCTTTTGCATGTTAGTACATTTTTGCCAATATCATGAAAACACAGGATTAAGTTCTGTGGCTTAAAGCATTTTTTCCTCATTAATAGCATCCATATTAAACATTAGTATGGTACAATTGCACTGGTTAAGAAAGAATATTAAATTCCTAATAACTGCAGTTATTCTGGAACGAAAACTGTGAATAACTCAGGCCAAAGAAGTCTTTCAGTGTTAAGTATATTTTATTGAAGGATAATTGGCAGGTCCAGTAATAGCATGTGTAGGCATTGTTGAACTAGTTTACTGTGGCCAATTTGGCTTTTACTGTGCTTCACTGCAGGCTCTTTAAACTGCTCCACATCCTGGACGCTTGCTAGTGAAACTGATGAGAAAACAAAGTTTTTCTTTCAAGACTGCTAAAATTTAAACTCCTAAAACATTTTGCTCTGATTAGAACAACTGAAAAGGTCTTTTGATGTAGTTGAGATTTTCTGTTGTTTTGTTGTTCAGATCATTTTTGAATCTTTTTTTTTTTTTGTCCTTAAACTTAGCTCAGGCAAAATAAGCTGATAGATGTCTAAATTATAGGAACATCCTTGATCAGACAACTGATTCCTCCCATTTTCTAGCAGAAATGGACTCTTTTATTTAGATATTAGGAGATCATTTTTCTGTAGTGTCTTACAGATTTTAAAACAGGATCTTTAATTCTTACGATTTTAGTGTGGATATCCACTTGAAAATCGAAGTATGCAATTAATTTTACTGGTAATTTGCTTTGTCTGCAGTTGAAGACAACGCCCCATAGTTGCATCTGTGTATAAGTATAGGCTATTGAGATTTTGGTCTTATAGCTGTGGTGCATGCAACTACAAACAAAATCTGCTTCTGAATTGTAAACTGCAGCTTCCTCTTTTTCACTCTGTGTTTACATGTGTCTTTCTGTCTTGGTTTGAATGGCATAATAATACATTAGAAATGTAGGAAAAGCCTTTTCTTATCCCTTTTATTCCACAGGATCTCCTTGAACCTTCCATATAAAAAAAAACTTGTATTATATAATTAAACATACACAGAGAAAGTACAGAAAATAATACCTGGTCCATTTCTGTGGTGGGAGCAAGTACCTTTTCACTAGCTGTATTGTCTGTAGAATAGGAAATGCAGACTGTCAAAACATAGAAATTCTTGTGAATCTGTAGGTAGCAAAACACTTCTGGAATTACAGTGACATTCCTTCTTTGCCTAAAATGCTATACAATATGTGATAATTACAGGTAATATCTCTTCTGATGTATCTTTTGAGATATAATCTTTAGCTGAATTGTCATAGAATATCACTTCTGCACCTTGAACATCCTCTATTCATGAAAATAATTAGACCTTGTCCTTTGTAACGTAATAAATCTAGAAAGATCACAGTCTAAACTGGCATGATAATGGTTTGTGGTTTTTAGTATTTGTCCTGTGTGAGTAGTTTTGTACAGGATGCTGCAAAGGTTTGGAACATGCATATTGTTCCACTGTTTTATGAATCACGTAGGCATGTGACAGTTTAAGGGCTCAAGAACTTGTGGAGCTGTTAATTGGTGTAGGAAGCACACAAAATTTCCTGAGAATCAAACAAAACGCTTCTGCAAACTACAAACAGCCAGTTGGATAGTTAAAATAATGTCATGAACAAATGGTTTTATGTCAAACAAAAAAAAAAATTACAGTAAATAGCTTAAAGATAAGATTATTTCCCTCCATCCCCTCTGCAGCAAACTGTGCCTATGGTTAATACCAACCAGTGAACTTTAATTCCTTTGTCATTGATAAACAGTACTTATTTTCCAATAAATGTTATAATCTCTTCAAATTCAATCTAATAAACTTTGGGTCTCTGACCCATTTTGGCTATCCCAGAATCTTCAACTGTTGTGTTTTGATATCAACTGTCATCCTTGAGCTATTTGAGGCTCAAGTGAAAGTCAAGTTCATGCAGTTTATGAAGTTAACACTGTTTTCTAGTGCAGGCAAACCAGTGGAGATTGTGAGTCTTAAATTTTGATACACATTTAAATGGTAGATTAAATCTTTTCCAGGGTTCATGCTGCTTTGGCACACCCTGTTAAGGATGTGAATCTGCTCCTGTATCACCCTACTCCATGGTTTGCCTTATCAATTAAAACCAGCACTGTCTTTCTTGATTTTAAAAAGTTGTGAATTGCTGCAACTTAGGACAGGTTTGCGTCATGTTCAGCTTCTTGTTTCATGACTAACTTCTTCAGTTGTCCTAGGTTTAGCCACTACTAAATCTCTCTCAGTATTTAGCTTCCAGAGTCCCATGGAATTCTGAGTTCAGAGGACATATAACCTTTGTAGCTACACTCTTTTCTTGAAGATAAAAGTATTTACTGATATTCATTGGATTGCGTGACCTGCACATTATGTCCTCGCCACAAAAATTTATTTTGAGTGTTGAGTGTAATTCAGCATTTGTTATCTGAACGAGAAAGTAAACCTCTTTATGAATGATTTTGTGCAATGAAAAGGATTATGTTCTTACATAAATGTTAATCAAACTCTGTAGATTTCTGCTTGTTTTATATAATGAATATTATTATTTGAAAAATGCAAATTTGTTTTGAAACCAAACCTGTTTTTCTTGCCTACATTTCAGTCAGAACTAAGACATGGTCCGTTTTACTATATGAAGCAGCCACTCACCACAGACCCTGTTGATGTTGTACCACAGGATGGACGGAATGATTTCTATTGCTGGGTTTGTCATCGGGAAGGCCAAGTCCTCTGCTGTGAACTCTGTCCTCGGGTTTATCATGCTAAGTGTCTGAAACTGACAGCGGAACCAGAGGGGGATTGGTTTTGCCCAGAATGTGAGGTTAGTTTGTTATAAGGAGTGGATTTCTTTCATGTGTGTGAGATAGAAGCAGCTTTTTTACATTCCTGGACATTTGTTGTATTCCTGTATGACCTCTTGGTAACGGTATCAGAAGAATTTGTACAAAAAAGGAGGCATCTCTTGTTGCTTCCCCACTTCTCTGTATGTGTTCCGGGATTGTGTTTGCCTTCTTACCATGACTCTTCAACTTCCTTTGTGTTCCCATCTCTAGAGAAGGCCTCATTTCAAAGAGTGATCCCTTCATCACAGCTCTAGCTCTGAAAACATTCTTCGTTTTCAGCTAGCTTAACTTATGCTTCTTCCTGTGGGCTGATAGCTCTGCAGCAGTGCTCGAATTATTTGCCGCTGTAGGGTTTTCGTAAACAAGTGAATATTATTATTACTACTATTTTTTTTTTCTGCAGGGCTAAGGAAGAATTTAACCATTCCTCTCCAATGATTCCTGGGGAGAGAATAATTAGCATCATAGTATCTTCAATGAAAGTAAATTGGTTTATCACATGCTATTCTTTGGCCACTTAGCATATTAGAGTCCAGGTTAATTTCTCACTTATTCACATTTCTGTGAACTTGCATTTTATTGAAATTATATATTCCCATATTCACTTTGTGTGATATAGAAGATGGATGCAGTTTCCAGTCCTTTCCCTTTTTTAATTTTTTTTAAAACTTTTGTTAACGTATTCAGAATTAAAATTGAGTAAAACAATTATCTGAAGTACTTATGATGCATCATCAGAAATGTTTTGTTTCATAGGACGTAATTATTTTCTTCCATTCAAATGCTGGGATGTTTTAATGGAGAAGAATTCACCTTGAAATGTTTGCTGACAAAATATTTTGTAATCTTAATTTTTAGAAAATCACAGTTGCAGAATGCATAGAAACACAGAGTAAAGCTATGACAATGCTCACCATTGAACAGCTATCATATTTACTGAAGTTTGCACTACAGAAAATGAAACAGCCAGGGGTAAGGAAGACTTTTCTGTATTCTTGGATCATATGTTTGTCATAACACTGGGTTTTGCTTCCTTTTGTTGATCTTGAGCCTAGCATATTTTATTGGACTATATATGACAACTTCTGTACTGTCTATCACCTGGTGCAAACATTAGTTAAGACTATATATATGTTTTTGGAGTGCATTTAAAATTTAATTTTTAATGCAACTTCTGGAGATATTTTCAGTACACCTAATGAAACTACAGCATGGCTTCCCACGGGGACTTTGTGTTTTCTCACTCACTGAAAGTGGACAATGCTATTTCTGAGATACAAGGGGAGTGACAGGATATGATCTCTTACCAGTCCAGGTACATGGGCAAGATTGTAAGCACAGATGCTGTTTGGTAATTCATTATAACAATTGAAATACTAGCATCTGTCTATTAGGAGAAATATAGTTTTTTACCACAAAAATTAGTAGTATCATATGCTTGTAAAACACTGAATGTTTTCCTCTCAGTGTGTTGAAAACCTGTGCCATCAACTTGCATACCAATTGAGATTGCTGCTCTATGAATTTTTGTCTTGGAGGCAAAATTGTTTCCTCTTGACTTTTACCTCTCTCCACAAGTCTGTCTCAGTCTGCAAGATAACATGCTTCTAAGTTTCAGATATTCCAGTCACTGATTCTATGATTCGGTTTCTGGTCACTCTTCCTTCACTGCGCAAGCTTTGTCTAGTTTTCACACGTGAAGAAAAAAAGTAAATCAAAGTAAGATGCTGAGATGAATTGCCGTGGCTTGCTTTAACTCCTGTTCCTTTCTTGTACCTATAAATAAGTTAGAGGAGTCTGTCTGCAATGTTACAGTAAAATACGTCGGGAAAACCAGATGTGTGGAATCATGGGCTCTTTGCAACTTTGGTGTCTCTGTGATAAGTATTTTAGCACAACAATAGTGGCACTTTCTGGAAAGGTTACTCTTTAGTTTTGATACACTTTAGCTCTTCAAGTATTTTTACTCTGGAGTGGTCAATGCTCTTCTTTTAGGAGGAGGCATTAGAAGCTTTAAGAGCTGCTTTTCAGAAGCAAAGTGTCAGTTTTTGTTGATATTGAGTCGACAATCAAAACATTTTGAAAATGCTAGAAAAATAGAAAAATAATGTTTAATGAATGCTACAGAAATATTTTGCCCTTTAGGCATTTTACTAATAACCTGTTGTTTTTGTGCCTGATTAGAAATATATATATTAATGAAACTGTTCAAAATTAAGATGCAGTGTGATTTTTTTTTTTCCTAACAGACAGAGCCATTTCAAAAGCCAGTTTCACTGGATCAACACCCAGATTATGCAGAATATATCTTTCATCCAATGGACCTTTGTACATTAGAAAAGGTTTGTATGAAACACGGAGAGGAAGATCCTTTCAGTTTGATTGCTATGGTTAAGATACCTTGAGTGTTTGTTGGGAGGCAGGAAAGAGGTTGTTAGAATTTTTTTTTTATTGTAGTTTTTTTTTTTTTTTTTTTTTTGCTTATAAATGCCAATTCAGTTATAGCTTGAAAATAATCATATGCCCACTGAATGAATCTGCTATTTTGTCTGAACCAGTAGCAAATGCTAAGGAAAAACAGTATGAAAAAGACAAACTTACACTGATGACCTCCTACTGTATAAATGCATCTAATTCCATTAATCATCCTGTGGGGAGACTTCGTTAATCAGAGTTTGCATTTGATCATCATGTTTGTTAGCTATTAGTGGATCACTGGTACATTGATTTGTCTTGGGACCATGTGAGTGTATGACCAGGGGTCATTCCAGACTTATGTACTGATCATTCAACAAATACTGTAATCTCCACTGCACCTGAGATGTGGAAGAAAAATGAAACAGTAAAGAGTTGGATTATGGTAGTTTGATTGTCAATTCAGTAATAAGCTAGGTGCTTCACATCATGACGTTCTTCATTCTCCACCGTGTTAATAAATAGTGGAGCACTGCAGAGCTTTGCTCTGCTACTACTTGGTGAAGAGTCAGCAAGCATTTTCATTCTCTGTCCCTTTACAGTGGACGTTGGTATCTGTGTTATAAAGGTATGACAAATCCATGTGATTGATTTTATCTAAATGAATTCCTTCACCCAGTTGGTAGGTTGGAATATCACACATCCTGTCTTATGTTGTCTGGTGAATAATTTTTTTCTGGGCCTTGTAAAAATTAAAAAAGCAAGAGTTCTGTGGAGCAGTAACATGCCAGTAGAATAATATTGTTTGAGGAAATTAACGGATGGTGTATTTTTTCCCTTGGTATTTTTTTTTTTAACATTGAAGAATTGAATTTAGTTTTATTAGAATTGATTTAGTTCATGTTTTCAGGACAATCAAAAACCAACATGAATTTGATAGATTCTTAAGTATTTAGAATTACAGGTTTTACTATAAATAAGTATTTTGTTTTATTAGTTGTATGACTTATGGTAGGAAACTGTTCAGGAAGAAGCTTTCACTTCTTACTCATTTCTGTTTCCTGATACATTTTAATTTTTTTATTTCCAGAATGTTAAAAAGAAAATGTACGGTTGCACTGAAGCATTTTTGGCTGATGCCAAATGGATTTTGCACAACTGCATTATTTACAATGGGGGTAAGAACTTATGCACATGTGTACTTATGTCCTTGAATATGAAATTCAGGATTAGATAAAGTAATAGATCAAGTTGTAGATTTGCTTGCAAATGCTGAAAGTATCTTTTTGCTAATTATTGTAGTTCCTAAACACAATAATTTTTTAAAGAGCTGACATACATATTATTTAGGACCAAATACTGCCTGTGCTGTCGCTTGCTCATTCCATCTTAAACTTTTTTCAAATTGACGATACATTGCTTTACGATTTTGCGTGATGCTGTGCTTTATAGGAGACCTAGTTGAGGAAATGATGCAACATGTTGATCACTTTACAGTGTATCAGTGGTGGGCAGGCTGCAGATGGATTAAGGGAACACTTTAACAGTTTTACTGTATTTGTTGGGAACATAATTGTTTGCCTATTTCTTTTACAAGTATGTATTTTGTGTATACTGGTTTTGCATTATCTTCTTAGATGTTCCCTTTTGTCTTTTAATACAGACTTTTAAAACTAAAACCTGTTGATTTTATCATATTTTAGCATAAGTTTTCTTGGTTAAAGAATTTTTCTTGTTTTCCCAGGAAATCACAAATTGACACAAACAGCAAAAGTCATCATCAAAATCTGTGAGCATGAGGTATGTGTTCCCCAGCTAATTTGATTGTTCTATCTGTATTTTTAAAGTGGAAACACATTCCATTGCTTGTACTTGTGATTGAAATAATGTTTTTTGTTGTGTATATTACATAACTCTAATTTGTGTAGGCTTTCTTATGTTTAGAGATGCATATCCATGGCCTATGGAATGATTTTGAAAAGGGCATTGCTAAAGTGTCTTCTGTTAGGGTATTCTCTATATATAATAAAGACTTTCAACGGTGGGTGGTGGGAGAAAGAAGACATATGGAATCTGCACAGACACTTATCTTTCCAAATGAATGCTTGAGTTGGAAAAAGAAACACAGATTTTCTGATCTATAAATACATTTTTTTGTGTTTCATCTGCCGTTACTATATGGAAGTCCTATGAATAAGTACAGAAATGACTGCCTGTGTTTTTAGCTGATCATTTGCACTGATTTTATTTCAGTGGCAATTTGTAATGTTTTGCATTACAAATACTTGCTATTCTAAATGTAGTATGTTTGAACAGTGTTTCAGTTATAAATTATCTGATGATCTGACACTTTGTGCCAAGCGTTTTCCTCACCCCTGGGTTGACAGAGCAATATGCATGATATGCATTAAATTCTGAGATTGTATCTTCACAGAAAAAAAAAGCATGTGTAACCTGAGCCTGGCTTCTTACATGTTTTTTGTAATCTGAGTATAAGGAACAAAATATTTAATTTTTTGTTCTGCCTAAATTACTATGAAATGAAATGCCCAATTGAGGTTATATTTTTGTGTCTGGAACAAATGATGATAAATCACAGAATCACAGAATTTCTAGGTTGGAAGAGACCTCAAAAATAATTCTTTATCACTGGAACAAATACATCAACAAAGCAAGAATATTTTTTTGACTGGAGTAAATGACAGCGTAGCACATAATCTGAAGAGATATGTAAAAATGTGATTAGTTCATTAGCTGGAAATGATACATTACAGCGGTAGAAAAAGATGGGTTTCTGTCAAAACAGTGTTGAGTTCATGACAAGTAATGGTTGATTTATGACCATAGAATTGTGGGAAAATTATGTTAGTAAATTTGGTTAACTTTATAATATTTGTTAATCACACTTTAGGCAGTGTTTAAGCTACTAAATAACCATTTGCTCTCTCTTTTCAGATGAATGAAATTGAAGTGTGTCCGGAATGTTACTTAGCTGCTTGCCAAAAACGAGAGAATTGGTTTTGTGAGCCTTGTGTAAGTTAAGGGCTATGGTAGCCTAGACAATAGATTAAACAAAGTTCTCATTTGACTCTGACTTGTTATCCTCCCATTGTTTTCAACCTGTGGTGGTTACTGAGGAGTTAGTGAGTCAAGGAAAACTGCTGAAGTTTACTGAACCACTGGCTTGTGGTTGTGCATCATGCAAATCATGGTCCTCGTGGAAACTGAAGCTCATTTAAAGATGTTTAGCTGTCAGATTGCATACTTTCAGTGAGAAATACCTGTTGTCAGCAAGCAGTTTGCAGCCTCTCAGTCCACAAATACAGGATATTTGCTCATGGGTCATCTGTGGTACTTGCACTTAGAGTTTTAAAGGTAATACTGCTTGTATCTTCTTCATGTGTGTTTTACCTCTTCCTCTAGAGCAATCCTCATCCTTTGGTCTGGGCTAAACTCAAAGGCTTTCCATTCTGGCCTGCTAAGGCACTGAGGGATAAAGATGGGCAAGTTGATGCCCGTTTCTTTGGCCAACATGACAGGTGAGAATTTAACCAAAGGATGTTTTTGGCTGTAGTTAAAAAATTCATATTGTAACTTCGTGCTCTTGGAGTTTTTGGATTCTGTTTTTTTGAAACGTGACTCTGACAAGCTATATAATACTGTAGCCTATACATTTTTGTAGAATGCAAGTCGTTTTTGTAAGACTAACACCTATATAATCTCACTGTATATGCACGTTAATTCCTGTGACTGTGATTTTGTGCTGCAATGAACTGCAGTTCTTAAGGGTGGAACCAAATATCGTATAAACACTACAGGAATGAACACACAACTGTGGATTTAAAAAATGGGCAAAAATGATCTGTGTTGAAAATGCCAGCTTTGCTCTGAAAGGTATTTTTTCTGTTCCTGTGAACCCTCAGCTTAGATGGAGAAAGCCATGGTGAAGACTAGTTGATTTATAATGAATTAAAAATACAAATCCATATAGTTATAAAAACATGTGCTTTAAAGCTGTACGGGGCCATGAAACTGTTAAGTCAAAGTTTCCCAAGCTTCTTTGGAAAGCAAAGTTTTAGAGTCTGGCTCATTTCATGATGAATAAAATCTTTCCAGTACTTGTTGGAGAGAAGCAATTTTTCCTCACATTGGGGAGTTTGATTGCTCTTACATTAGGTGTAAAAATAGATTGTTATGTATTTAAGAATGTTATTTTGAAGTCTTTTTTTTTTTTTCCTGAACTGTGTTTTTCTGTTTCTCTGCTAATTATGAACAATGGAAAGATTGTTTAGTAACAGTCATCTTACAGTTCCACAGACTATTTTGGTTAAGTATGTTTCGTCATACTTGACCAATGTTTATTCCTGTTTTATGTGTTACTGGGGAAGTGTAAAATAAGCTAGGAATAATCTAAGACAAGCAATTACTTACATACCACAGCTTAAGCACTGAGCTGTTAACGGAAGGTGGAGGTAGGCCTTTGAAATTACCTGATATGTGCATATCTTTATGACTAGGATAAAATAAATCAAAATTTGAAGAAAAATAATAAGAGTTGCCAAAGTCAATTCGCAGTGTGAAATGTAGTCATATCATCTTTTTTTTTTTTTTTAATAGGGCCTGGGTTCCAATAAATAATTGCTACCTCATGTCAAAAGAAATTCCTTTTTCTGTGAAAAAGACTAAAAGCATCTTCAATAGTGCAATGCAAGAAATGGAGGTTTATGTTGATAACATTCGTAGAAAGTTTGGAGTATTTAATTATGCACCTTTCCGGACACCATATACTCCCAACAATCAATACCAAATGTTGTTAGATCCTGCAAACCCAACTGCTGGAACTGCAAAGACAGACAAACAAGAGAAAATCAAACTGAACTTTGATATGACAGCATCACCCAAGATTCTAATGAGCAAGCCTATGTTGAGCAGTAGTACTGGTCGTAGGATTTCGTTGACAGATATGCCACGGTCACCAATGAGTACAAACTCATCAGTGCACACTGGATCTGATGTTGAACAGGACGCAGAGAAAAAAGCAACTTCCAGTCATTTTAGTGCAAGTGAAGAATCCATGGACTTTACAGAGAAAAATACAGGTAAAAAAAGAAGGGGGTACAAGACTTCTGCATTTGTTTAATTTACTAGTTAGAATTGTTATGATTAGGAGATACTCTATTTAAAAATTGATAGCTCTTTTTCAAGGTGTTAATTAGTGTTCCCCAACTGAGTAGCTAAAATATGATAAAATTACAGTTGTACAGGCAGCGTAGATAAACAGAAATAGGAGCAGCAAATACAGAATTTGGACTTTGCAGACTTACAATGTAGTGAAAGACCAAACAGTAGCTAATTTTGTGTTGCTCATGCAAACCATCCATCAAATTAAGATCATCACTATCTAACCCCTCCAATATGATATGTTATTTGAGTGTCCATAAAACTGCTTTTGTTGAAAGAATTTCTTTGCAAAGGAAATTGAATCTTTTTTTTTCTTTAACTTTTGATAATGCTTTAAAAATTGATTGGAGATAAACTTTTACCAGTCCTGTATAATGGGTAGCTTAACTGCAAATAATTGTTCAGACTTAACATACAATTCTGCATTTTTTTGTCACATATTTTGGAGCAATAGAAAAGTTCCAAATTGCTAATGGATTTGGTACAGTTTTTGACAGGGTCTAATTTTTCAGATTCCTTATAAAATTTTTTTGGTAGTGGCATATAATCAAGTAAAAACTTGTAAAAACTTTGAAGTTTTCCAAGTTTCTTGATCATGGAAGCTGAAAAATAAGGGAAGTTCTAAAAGCTACATGTAAAGGATGGTTGAAGATACATAAGAAATTGGAGACTGGAAAAAATGGTTGAAGTGATAACAGTGAAGCTTCCTAAATTTTATTTTGCTTTGATATGATCAATATCATAGATTTTTTATTTTTTTTTATGTTAGACTTGAAATTGTAACCCAAAAGAAGCATTACGCTTAGGAAAAGCTTTCATATAAATTTTTCTTCTTCCTTTCTCTCAGGATTCACATACATTTTTTACACAGATTTTACATAAATCTTGAGAGAAAGCTTTTTTTTCCTTCTAAATTTTTATTTTAGATGATCTGATGTTAAAAATAGCATTAGAGGAAGCTGTAGAGGGCTTCTTCAAACAAGTGTATGTAACTTATTATGGAGGTTATGTTGTGCAATAGAAATGCTTATTCCATTGTTCTGCAGTGTGTGTGCTGTCAAATAATTTCTTGAACTGACAACCATGAACACCAAATGGACAGTAGACCTGGCAGGTCATGGTTTGGGAATCTTATTCCTCTTAGCCCAAAAAAGCTAGGCTGTGAAATGACATTTGGGTACACGTTATCTTGTGATGGGATCCTGTACATCTTATGAAAGTGATGATAAAGTAACTCTGATGAGTTAAAGTGTATGAAAAGATATGGACATTTCAATAGATAATAACATGTCAAAAGAAATAATTCATTTTATAGATCAGTTATCACGTGTGTGTGTATCTTTCACACGAGGTCTAGCTTATAGGTGCTGTTTTCTGTCTTAAGATGTAGAGTTTTAATTAATAACCCAAACCATTTTAATTAATAACCCAAACCATTCTGTGATTCTATGAAAGAGTTCCTGAAACAGCAGATATCACTACCTTTTAGGAATCTGAAAAAATATATAGACAGTCTTTTAGGCACTGGGGAACACAAATTGTTCAGCAGTGAGTTTAGATTGACAGTTTCAGAGCATTAAGCAGAGATTTAATGGACAACTCTTGCTGACAGGCATTAAGACTTTCTTTTCAGGTAATGGCCTACAGATGTTTCCCTTTCTAGACAGATTGGGTGTTTCCAGAAGTTTGTTTTTGAAACATGACTTTGCATACATTTTGAAGGATCAGAGCGCAGAATTTTGCCTAAACTGTGTGTAAATTAGAATATCCTACTACCTAATCTGTGAGATTTCATCAGTAATCTCCAACTCCACTGACTAAATTTAGTATGATTTGTGTTTTTAATTCTCTATTTATGTATCTATAAAATAGGCTAGTTTTATTTTTTAAAAATGTTTACCTACATACATGCAATAAAATAGATAGCAGTCAGAGTTTGTTTACATTTAAAATAGCCAAATCTCAAAAGTTGAAAACTTCACTGAAAACAGAGTTGTTTTGAGATTAAACATTCATTTGGCCTGAATAGAATTAATAGCTGTAGTAACATGATTTTCCTTACAGTTTCTTTTTTTATTAAACTAAAGTATGAGACAGTTGTAAGTTACAGTGGAGATATAACATGATGTTGAAATTATTAAACAAAAATCCTTTCCCTGCTTTTAAAGGTTTAAAAGCTGTTTTGTCCCAGTGAGTATGGCTTTATTGTGATTATTTTTAAACCTTTCTTTATTAATTTTGTACTTTTTCAGCTTCTCCAGCACCCACAAGAACAGGTCAAGCAGGGAGCTTGTCAGGCAGTCCCAAACCCTTCTCTCCTCAAGCGTCAACACCAATTTCTGCTAAGCAAGAAAGAACTTCCACTCCAGGAAGCATTCTGAATCTTAATCTTGGTTAGTCTTGACCTTTGAAAGTCTAATTCTGTTACAGCTGAGTAAGTTACAGTGGTGTTAATGTGAGAAAATATGAACAAACTTGATTCTACTTAGCTTTAAATGAACAAAGGACTTTACATGTGGCACTTATATAATTATTGTTTCATCAAATAAGCTGTTCTTTTTTTTGTTTTATAAATTGAATTGAAGTTCCTGTTATCATTTCTTTTTGATGGAAGGAAGTAGCTGAGATGATTTTTGGCTAACCTGTACAAATGAATGTTACTAAACAGTAGGTAAGTTTAAAGCTTGTAATAACATGAATATTGCCATTCTTCACTCATCAGTCTCTTCTGTGAGCACCTGGTAAAGTTTCCTGTGTTTTTTAGGGTTTAGGATTTATTAGGGTTTCTCTTTTGCTATCTTCATGTCACCTCTTTGCTAACCATCCACATCTAGGAAGATAGATGGAGAAAAGGAATTAGCAGACATCTTGAAAATCCCTTAGTTTTGGATTCTGAAATTTTGAAAGATGAAGTAGGAAAGTACTACTTTGGTAAAATAGTTCCAAAAGCCAAAGAGACATAAATCAGTTTCTTCAGTTATGCTTTGTTCCCAAGAGTATTCTGATTCAGTTCTGGCCACTTTTTTCATCCCAATGATATTACACAGAGAGACAGGATTCTTTCTCTTGGTCTGCCAAATACTTAAGGAAGGCTTGATCACAGCAAGCAGAATTTGAAATGCTTCCAGTGAGCTAGATGTAACTGTAGATACAAGCTTATAGTGTACTTTTTAGTGTGAATCCATCTGTGTGGACATAACCATTACTTACTTTTGCTGCACTGCAGCTGTTTGTTGCCTTACCTGAAAAAAAAAATATTTGCATTTGGGAAAAAAAAATGTTAAGAAACATTTTTGTATTGAAATTGTTTGAGCCACAGGTGGGAGACATTAGTTGGAGCTTAGAGTATTTTGAATACATAGGGTGGAACTGAAAATCTGTTGTTGTCCACAAGCAATACCATAAAAGAACAGCTAGTATACTTTTAGGTAGAATATCAAATATTTCTTCAACTTTAGGGGAATTTCCTTTGCTATATATGCTGTTTGGTACTAGGCATGGAAAGGGCACTTCTTCATTTGTTCATGTCAGCTATACCTGACATGGCTTCATCTGGGAATCCCATGGCTTTTAGATAAGATTAATTGTGTGAACAGGGATTCTTTGAAAAAACAAAAGTGAAAGTATAGAAAACAGATACTTGTACCTTAAGCAGCCAGCTTAAGGGCTGTATGATCATCCTACAACAATATTTCAGCAATAAGGAAAGACAAATATTGGAAATGAGCCATCAGTTCTTCCTGGTAGACTGGCTAAAGGGAAAAGTGCAGGTGTGAATGATCAAACTATACACAGATTGCTTGGAAAAATGTGTTAATTCCAGGTTTATATATATATACACGCCTGTCCTTGTGTATTAGAGTCAGAAAAGATGAGATAAAACTTTGACCCAATAAGGAATTATATTTTTCAGATGGGTGATGAGAAAAACTTACTTGTTTTCTTTGTACTAATACCTCAGAATTAATGAGACAAATTGGAAAAACAGATCTTCTCAGTGAGACCTCCTTCTGGGCTAGATAAGTTTGAAATGTGACACTTTGCTCTGTATAAGTACATTAAAGGAGGCTGTAGAGAGGTGGGGGTTGGTCTGTTCTCCCATGTGCCTGGTGACAGGACGAGGGGGAATGGGCTAAAGTTACGCCAGGGGAGTTTTAGGTTAGATGTTAGGAAGAATTTCTTTACTGAAAGGGTTGTTAGGCACTGGAACGGGCTGCCCAGGGAGGTGGTGGAGTCACCATCCCTGGAAGTCTTCAAAAGACGTTTAGATGTAGAGCTTAGGGATATGGTTTAGTGGGGACTGCTAGTGTTAGGTCAGAGGTTGGACTCGATGATCTTGAGGTCTCTTCCAACCTAGAAAGTCTGTGATTCTGTGATTCTTCCATATTAAGATAGAGGGTCTGCTGGGTAGATATTATAGTGTCTCTTGTCCAACTTTCCCCTTTTGGCCATCTTTTCCTCTATTTATATCCTGCCATGTAGTGATGGTAACTCTGTATTTATCAAATCCTAGAGCAAAGCTTTCTATATTTTTTTCTTTTATTTATATACATATTATATACATATATATGGCAAAATTAAAAAAAAAATATAAAAATCAACACTCAAATTCTTTCAGTGTGAATGAAAAAGCTTTGTGAGTGCTGATTTCTTTTGAAATTCTATCCTTATCATGCCTGAAAGGAAACTGCACGTCTTGAAAGCTAACTGTAAACAAAACACCTAACTGTAAAACCCTAAGATGTAAGCTGGCAATGCTCCAGTAAAATCATGATTCCAAACTACACTAAGGAAAAGAGGTAAGTCCCATACTTCATTTCTGACACAACGTTATTTAAGCTGTCCTTGGAAATTGATGAGGGAAATTCCACATTATTCCTGGTTAAACTTTTTGATAGTTTCATCACTCTTTCAACCTCACGTGAATATCCAATCTAAATAATGTTTGCTGGAAATACAGCACATTATTCTAGTTTGTTCCTGACCATGGAGAACAATGGTCGCTATCACCTTTTAGGCAGCTTTCTCTACATTAAGGAGGAAGGCTGTTAATATTTTTTTCATGTTTCATCTCTCCAAAGGGAATTTTCCCCCTTACATAATATTTTCTAAATTGATTTTGTCTCTTTCCTATGAACCACCTCTTGTTTGCACGCATTTTTTTTTTCCCTGTGTGTTTATATTTTTATTTTTAAGTGCTCCAAATGGAATGATGTGTTATAATTCATGTTTTGCATAACTCAGAGAACCAGTCTTTAAGTCAGGAAGTGTTAGGAAGAGTTTCTAATGACACTTTTGATGTATTGCTTCTCCAGTAGCATCACATTGAGTCATATTTACTATACAGCAGTCAGGTCTTTTTTTTTCCTCTATTCTTCTTTAGCCAGATACTCCTCATTTTATAAATGGGTCTTTGACACCTCCCCCTCTTCTTAAGTGCAGAGTGCAGAAGAGCTGTAGCTTAACAGCAATTAGAACTATTAATTCAGCTTCTTTGTTTCAGAAACACTCTGTAGTTTAAAAACATTTTGAACTGTGGCCCCTTTCCTAAAAAAGGCAGCCTTCATTTCTGTCATCTAAGGATAAATTACTGTCATCATAGTAATTAAGGAAAATGTTGACTAGACCTGAGTTTTAGAATAGTGTTTTGATGTTTGAGGTGAAGTATCCTCCTATAATAACGCACCTACCTGGTGATAATGAGATCTCCTTTCCTTCATTTGCTTCTGGGAATGTCAAAATAATAGTGAAGCGCCAAAGTTGGTATTTTTCACAGGTGCTGTCTACCATATGTCCAGTTAATTTCTTTTTTTAGGAGGATGTGTGAATTAGTTCAAAATCTACTAGGGACTTAAACTCTAATCAACAATGCATTTTTGTAGCTTGATAGGGGAAATAGTTTTCTGCGTTCCTTTGCTATAGTACATGTATCATATCGTTCCATTCCATGATAGCAACTCAGCGACAGGACATCCTTTTAGTATTGGGATAATGTCTCCCCTGCATATTCATAAGTCAATTAAGAACAAAATATAAGACTGAAGGGTGTTATTCTGCTCTTATCTACAATAGCAATAGGGGAAAAAAAACAATACCTGTTTCTTTAATAAGCACTAGAGCTAGATGCCTTATTTGTTTTGTCATTGTAGATGAAACCATTCAAAGCTCTTCAGTGTGATGAAGTATCTTGAACTGCAGGTTCGGAAAATTAACAGTATTTCTTTCATCACAGAAAAATTAACTTTTACAAATAGCTTGTCTTTCCAACCTAAAAATCAATGCAGCTGTAATTTGTATGTTTTCAAAGAGCTACCTGTCATCAGTTAAGATGGAAGTTAGGCTGAAATCTCATTTTTATTTCAGCCCCTCTGGGGTAGATTATGGAAAGTCAGAGGAGTTTAATTAAGCTGTGACTTGTGATTGTGATTTTACTTAACTTCTTTAGTAGTCTGCTTTTTGTCATTCACTTTCTGTCCCAGTTTTTTGGCATAAGGGGATTTTTGGCTGCCTTTATTTCTGCAGTGAAGCCCCAGACAAAAGTCTGTGTTCTCTTGCTGGCAGAAAAAAATATTCTTAAGACAGTACTAGATTACCTTTGGTTTACACTGCAATAATTTACTGTAATGCCTATGTGAAATATTTTCCAAAGTTACAAACTGGTATACTGTATATTATGCAGAAAGTTATCTTCCTGAATTGAAATTAATTTCAAGACCATCTCTTACAGAAAGTTAAAGGTCAGTTTTTATCAGTCTATGAACGCACAGGAAGGAGAAACCTAGTTCTAACCCAAGGAACAAATTTTTCAAAAATACTTAAACGATTTAGGGCCTTTGTTATTTTCAAAATTTACACCAAAAAGTGATGGAGTTTGTGGTATGTTTGGTCTTTTGCAGTATGAAAATGCCACATGAGGACTGTGAAATTCAATATTACTTTTAGGATCATTTCACTGGGGCTAGAAAATATGACTGTGCGTTAGATTATTTAGTCTGAATTTGTGTATGCTATAATGCATATATATATATATATAAATAATCCAAGGTGATCCAATATATAGCCTGTATATTTAACTTGTGGGATTGCAGCATATAAGTTGCTGCCTCTCTCTGGGAGGAGATGGGAAACTGCTATTTAAGCAGAAAAGAAAAAGTGCATCAATACTTGAATGGTTCCTTCTGCACCTGCTCTACATGTAATACAGATTCTGTTTGCAGCCCTAGTGGGAGGTAGAGTGGCCAGCCCAACTATGACACCTGCATTGCAGAGCTTGAGGCACCCTATGATGGCTCTTAAGTGTACCTATGAGCTAAAACTCATGAAGAACATTAGAACAGAGGAATCATTGGCTTAGCTCTTTATTTCACTTTCCTCTATGAATTGTACATCCAAACAATGTCTTGGAGATGAGTGGTTTTTTTTGTGGTTTTGTTTTAAAGTAAAATAAGAATACTGTGATATCTTGGTAACTTCTGTGGATTGAAATTGTAAATGAAGTAAAAATGCTCGTTGTGCTAGTGTTGTCTTGTGTCTTCTCAATGGCCTCTGTGGATCTTACTTAATCCTACGATGAGCCAATTCAAGGAGCTAAAGTGGCAGAACCTAGTTCTTCTCTCCATTCCATCCACCTTGTTCGTGTCCTCTTCCTCCTGCCCAGACAAGCAACTAATTCCAGAGTGGTTTGGTGTTCTGAGCTCCAAAATGAAGTGTCCCCATTGCTAGCAAAGAGTAAATAATAGGACTGTGGAACAGAAGTAACCTTTTTTAAAAACTGGAGCAAAAATGTGAAACTTAATTGCTAAGACAGTTTTAGCCCTACTCTGCTGACAGATCTGTGTATTTCAGTCAAAATTCTCTTAATTGTATTGGAGAGCTCAAGAGAAGATTTTGCTGGCATATATTGAAAAAAAATAGCTTATTAAATTTATTACTGTATCTGGTGTAACAACCCATATGACTTATCTTTTAAATTCTAACTCATGTCTACAAGGATCATTATTTAATTTTCTCTGTGAAAATATACTAATAGCAGTAAATAACAATAACTTAGTAGAGCTGCTGTTGGGCAACTTACTCAATGATAATTTCTTGATAATTTAATGTTGATGGAAAAGAGCATCCGTATAACTTATGCATGCAGTTTGCATGTGAGATATGTAGCATCAGAGAGGAAGAATCCGTTATTTTTAGTGGAGTCATTTTAGAATCACTGTTTAGCCTGTAGTTATAAAAGAAATGAAAGATGTTTCAGGTTGTGTTGTTACTCAGTAAAATTTGTCGTACGTGGATAATGATATTTTTTCTTTTTGCAAAATATTTTTCTTTGATCCTTTTTCTTTTTCTAGATCGTAGCAAAGCTGAGATGGATCTGAAGGAGTTGAGTGAGTCAGTCCAACAGCAGTCCACCCCTGTGCCACTCATTTCACCAAAACGACAGATACGTAGCAGGTTCCAGCTTAATCTTGACAAGACAATAGAGAGCTGTAAAGCACAACTTGGTGAGTATACCACTTGAGGAAATTCTGGAGTTTAAAAAGTGTTTTCAAATAGTAAAACTTTAAATATTTTATGCATTAACACAAGAGTAAGAGGGTGTTAGAGCTCTTAAACACCAATAGAATACATTGAACTAGTTTAACTTAAAATAGTGAGACCTTACATTTTAGATTTTTGCCAAAAATCTTTCATTCTTTCATCTTTTAATTTGTTTGTGAACCATTTTGTTGAAGATAGTATAGCAGAATTAAAGTCTTTCTATTTGCTTTGTAAATTGAAAAATTGAAAAACTATAGCTAACTTAGGTTAGCTGCACAAATTATTATATCCAGTCGTACAGGAGCTGTTAAAAATATAAGCATAGTCTAGCAGTTAATTGAAGATTGTCTAGGCACTAGAGAATTACAGATTCTTCTCACAAAAATTATGCTGTCTAAAACTGATTGTGCTGACATGTGCGGAAGTAACTAATCAGGTGAACAGTGCTACTAATTTAAGGGTGGTTTGTTGTGGATACTAATTATTCCTCTTCATATTTGTCAGCATTGGCCCAATATCGAGCAAAGCTACAGCTTGTAGGTAGTGGTGGAAAAACAGTGGAAGGAGGGCTGTTGAATCAAATAAAAATAATTGGAATACGTGAAAGGTAATTCTTACACATTTTGATATTGAGATAGGGAACTAAGGGAGGTGCTTATAGCTTAAGGACTGACAGGGTAATGGTATTTGTATACCTCGTTCTATGGAGGGAACTTTTTTTTTTGGTAATGCCAGTCAGTCTGATATCAGCATGGAATGTACTTTTCTCCCCACAATTAGGAATAAATGAAATATCTGAAGCTGTTTATACTGCAGTAGAACACAGTGACTCTGAAGATTCTGAAAAATCTGACACCAGTGACAGTGAATATAGTGATGAGGATCAGAAATCAAAGAATGATCAAGAAGATGGAGAGGATAAGGAAGGTACAAGGAGTGACAAAGAATCATTGAGCTTGAAAAAAAAACCTAAGCCCCCAGCACAGAATGAAGACAAGGAGGAACTTAAAAGCACAAGTCCAGAAGTGGAGAAAACAGATGACCCAGTCAAAGAAAAGGCAATTACCGACACTGAAAAAGAATTTTCTGAAAAGGGAAAAAGTTTGCAACATCCTGCAAAAGAAAAACTGAAAAGTAAAGATGAGACAGACTCTCCAACTGTGCATCTAGGACTGGACTCTGATTCTGAGAGCGAACTTGTCATCGATCTCGGAGATGATCATTGTGGGCGTGAAGGACGGAAAAACAAGAAAGAATCTAAAGAACCTCCTCCTAAACAAGATGGTAGGATGAAATTCTCTTTTTTCTTTACTGTAGGGCTGTTGTTGAAGTTAGAACTGTTAGCTCTATTTTTGCATTAAGATGCTAAAAATATCCATACTAAAACAATTTTTATGAATGATTTTTCATTCTTTATGAAGGAGGGTTTTCAGTCCCCATTATAATTTCTGGTTTAAATAAATTTAAACCACAAATTTAGAATTTTTTTTTGCTGTGTTAATGAGTTCCATCTGAAACTACATTTCTATAGACATCCCAAAATCACAGCTGTAGAAGTAGTTGGAATTTTTCGAACATACAAATTTCATAAGGGCCCATTAAAATCAATGCTTAAAGGCAATAGAAACTTCTGTTTGCTTTTGCAGGGGGTAAAAGGGATCTCTAGACCTTTAAGAAAGTGAGTTTGTCAGTTTTCTTAGTGTTTTGGTCATGTGAGGGAGAATGGTACTTACTTCTCTAGCCACTGGATTTTGAAAATAAAGTAATATGTTTCAGGTGAGCTGAAGGACAGTAAATGAGTTATTCGACAAATGGTAAATTGTCAGTAAGAGAGGACAGTGGTAAATCATGAGAACTAATACACCATTGCTGATTCAAGCCAAACTCTATACCTGGTAACTCATGTCTAGCAAGTGATGCCATTTTTCTTATATAGATACAAGTTAAATTTAAAAGAAGTTAACTGTAATATTTTTGCTGATTTCAGAACTGTGTTGGGCACAACACAAAGTGATATTCAGATTTATTTACTTGATCTGGAAGGATTTTCTCAGCTTCAGTGGTTCAGCGATGAGGGAGAGCTGAGTAGACAGAGCAAAGCCTGACCATATATTGCCCTGTTTCATTGACTGTGTATAAGTCCTGAGTGAATATCGTATTTCAAATGTGGATAATTTCTTCTCATATTCCTTCTCATTGAATGAGGATTTCATATGTTTAGTGTTATCTTACATATTATTTGTTGGAGCTAAGGAATTCCTGTTTGTTTGTTTTTTTTTTTTCTTTGACGTGACAAGCACAGGTAACAGTGGGGTATTATATTTCAGCTTTTGACCATTTTTTACAATATCTATTTAAGAACTTCTGTTTAAGGTCTATCTGTAAACAGTTGTACTTTGCCAATGAAACTCATCTAAAAGCATCTGGTATCTTTTAATACCAATTGTTTGCTCAGTTGGTTGTCTGAAAGTTATTTGTCTTCTACTGTTTGTCAGAAGAGGACATATTAAAGTAACATCAGTTATACCAAGAAAATGTGGGTAAGAACATCCATGCATTTAGCTCACCAGCAACCCCAGTGAAGAGTTTTTTTTGATAAATCCTAACATTTCCCTGTCAAGGTGCACAGCAAGAGAATAGGATCTGCTATGTGGAACAATCAGCTGTGAACTCTGGGATGACAGGTTTAAGTGGTAATCCAGAAACTGTCTAACAAATGCGAACCTTTCTTCCAGAGAGGTCAGGCTGCTTTTCTGGGTTTTGTACTTCTTGTTTTGTTTTTGTCAACAGCTGGTGCTTCTCAATTGCCACCAATTTCAACTAGACTGAAATGAGTTTACTTGTAGAATATCAATATGTTGACAATTGACTGATCAGAAGCAGACAGAATGGGTTGTGAATTGCCTGACTAACCTGATCTCCTATGAGAAGATGATTTTCAGTAGATGAGGGAAAGGCTGTGGATGTTGTTTACCTGGATTTTAGTAAAGTTTTTGACACTGCTTCCACCAGTATTCTCCAGGAAAAACTGACTGCTCAGGGCTTGGAGAGGCGAACAGTTTGCTGGATGAAGAACTTCCTGGGTGGATGGGCTCAAAGAGGCCTAGGGAATGGAGTTCAGTCCAGTTGGTGGCTGGTCACCAGTGGTGTCCCCCAGGGCTCGGTCTTGGGGCCAGACTTTGGCATGGGCTGCCCAGGGACATGGTGGAGTCCCCATCCCTGGAGGTATTTAAGAGACTTGGATGTGGCGCTAAGGGACATGGGATTTGGTAGGTCAGGTTGACTGTTGGACTTGGTGGTCTTGAAGTTCTTTTCCAACCTAGGTGATTCTATAATTACCTTTGGAGGAAAATAATTCAAAGTAGTCTGGAAGGTGCATATGACTCTTCTAAAAATTAGCTGTAAAATTGTGGGTCAGATTCGCTGGTGAAAAGCTGACATTAAGTTTTATGTTTGTTTAGTCGTAGGTAAAACTCCACCTTCTTCCAGTGCAAGCACCCAGCCTCTACCAGAAACTCCAGTTCTTACCCGCTCTGCAGCCCAGACTCCACCAGCTGGTGTGACAGCAACTACCAGCACTACTTCTACTGTTAGTGCTCCATCTGCAGCCACTGGAAGCCCTGTGAAAAAGCAGAGGCCTCTGCTGCCTAAGGAAACAGCCCCTGCTGTGCAGCGAGTAGTGTGGAATTCTTCAAATAAATTTCAGACATCTTCTCAAAAATGGCACATGCAGAAGATGCAGAGACAGCAGCAACAGCAGCAGAACCAGCAGTCTCAGTCACAGCAACCTCAGTCCTCTCAAGGCACAAGATACCAGACAAGACAAGCAGTTAAAGGTATACACTTTCTAACTCAATGTGCCCATGATGCCATAATTCCCCAGTAGTGATCTCAGTGGTCCAACGCTGCCTAACCAGGAATTCTTCCATATAAACAAAATCTCAAAGTCTGGTTCTACTCTAAGTGACTTTAAAATACAACAACTTACTCACCATACCTGCTCTTTCTGGTGTGTATTTAGAGACATGTCTCCTTATTTGAATGACAAAACATTTGTGCATGTATCTGTAAAATATTTTTGCCATTCTTAGCTGTCACAGATTTGAGAGAGTAAACAGAACTATTTTCTGGATTACGTGATTAAATCATCAACTCTATTCCAGTTGCACAATTACCACCACCACTATCTCAGTATCTACAAACTGGATCCAATTTTATCTGTCAAGAAGCTGATTTGTAGAGGGTTTTTTTTCATACAGTAATTTGTTAACAATGAAATTACCCAGGCTGCATTTGTCTTTGAAATCCCTGTTGATGGGAAGAATCAACTCTTAATAGGACTCTGATACCAGTTCACTGGGCAAACAGTCTGGCATGTCACAGTGTTTTCACAACTGTTTTCTTACCATCCTTTTGCCAGAGGTTTTTGTAATAGTAGGCGCATGGTTATGTAAGCTAGCATCTCAACTACTTCAGTTCAAAGAACAGCAGCTTTATGCAAATCTAGCTTTATTTGTAGTTTCAGATTAATCAGCTGAACTATTTTCAGGTTTGCTAGATACATTCAGATATATTCTCCATTCTGCTAATGCTACCAGCAAGCCAGTAATTTCTTACATAAGAGAGGCTTACATATCATACACATACAAACATTTACCAGAGTGACATTTCCCTGCTCCCAAACTGTTTTTGTGACTCATTCAAGAAGTGATGAAGAAGTGTTATTTTTCTGCTTATAGACTCCACAAATTTGGTACAGAAATATTCAGTGAGAGAAATAAAGGGGAAACTTGGTGTTTTATTTTTATAGTCATGCCTTAGTATGAGCTCAATAACATGGACTAAACTTTGAGTGTTCAGCCCATGAGTGTGTTTTATCAACATACTATTGAGTGCATCACAGCTATATTCTGTCTTATGTATTATATGCTAGAAATATCACATGAAAACATTCTAAAATATATAGCTTTTTGTACGTACTGAAATGACATAAAAATAGTGCCTAGGGATAATTTGAAGAACTATTGTGTTTCAGTTATTTGTGTTTTGAAGATATCAGCAACTGAGACATCTTTATAATGTGAATCGCTTAAAGAGTTGTCTAAAAAAATTAAGGCAGGTGAGTCATTAGGGATGTAAAGGTGAAAGGTATTTGCTCTTATTTTTGAATTACCAACTGTTTTAAAATTATTTGAAATATTGAGCAAGGATGAGAAAGCTTTTCCTGTTTGAGTTAACTCAAGACTCTCTTCCTGTTTAATTCTCTGAAGAAATTCTTTACTTTAATGAGTTAATCTCATGTTGCATTCCTTGCTCTGCACCCAGCCAATGGCTGAGCTTGAGCTGGATGTATGTATATTAAAGACATCACAACTCAAAACTAACGATAATTAGTAGCATTAGTAAAAAAAAAAAAAAAAAAAAAAAAAAAAAAAAGAATGCAAATAACACCAGAAAGTGAGACTAAAACAGACCGTCTTCAACAGTATCTCACTAAACCTTGTTTAGAAAACAAAAAATAAAAATATGCTATTAGTTGGGAGTTCTGCAAATTGAGAGGTTAGGAAATGCTAAGGGAGACTTTTGCATTGGCCAGTCTAAACTTGTAAGATTTGGAGTTGTTTGCTACGTTACCTTTAAGCCTTGTTAATAATGTATCAATTCAGTGACTGGGCACTGTAGAATCTGTTGATTAAATAGCACCATTGTATAAGTAAGACAAATCTTGGAAATGGTTAGGTGCATATATTTAATGAACATTAAAATTAGAAAAAGTTTGCCTATTCATTTTCATAATCGTTTGTGATTGATGATCTGCTGTACGTTTTCTTTCCACAGCTGTGCAGCAGAAAGAGATCACCCAGAGCACTTCCACATCAACCATAACCTTGGTTACAAGTACTCAACCGATTTCTATGGTTACAAGTTCTGGATCTGCAAATACACTTTCTTCCTCAGTTAATACAGACTTGCCAATTGCAACAGCTTCAGCTGATGTGGCTGCAGATATTGCTAAATATACTAGCAAAGTAAGTTCTTGGATAGGATTTTCTTTATTTTTTTTTCATGAATTGAACTTTCAAATATCTAAAATTTTAAACTGTGAAATAAAAACTTTATTGTGAAATTAATAATTGTTATTATATATTGTATACTCATTCTGCTGGGTAGAAACAGCTAGACTTTGGTGACAGTGCTGAACCATCATTGTGCAACTGGCTGAATGCTGCCATTCTAAGCCAGAGTGTATGTACAATATGCTCTAGCTGTCCAGGTACTTCAGACTCTTTGGCTCTCATATTCCCCATTGCTTCTTTTGGTTACACTGTGTTCAGTTTTGGCCTGTTCTTGGTAAAGTGTAGATAGTCCCATAGCATCATATTTACAGTAAACATTAATATTTCATTATCTGTATTTAGTAACACACAAAAATGTAGCTTTGTTTTAAAACACAAATATTAAAAGCATAAGAATTAATCTTGACTATCAACTTTCAATGTGGTCAACTTTCATATGGTCTTGGTAGGATTGTCAGTGGTAAGCAATGTCAGTAAATGCCTTTTTTTCCTCTTTTTTATTTTTATTTTTTATTTTTTAATTTGTCTTTTCTCACAAACTCAGTTATATTTTTTGTTTGTAACTGACTTCAATAGCAATGTCTTGGTAATTAGAAGGTCAAGCTGTTCACCAATTCAGGACAATTAAAAAAATCAGACTCCTGATAAATAATGTTGTCTTCTACCTTCTAAAATAGTCTTTTAAAAGTAGATCCAGGTAAACATATATATATACAGCTATGTGACCTTGATAGTAATAGAACTTCATATTAGAGTGGTTACAATGAAAAGTAAGCTGGTATCTATTAAAAATGTATATCAACTTTTTTTTTTTGATTTTTGTGTTTCAGATGATGGATGCCATCAAAGGAACAATGACTGAAATTTATAATGATCTTTCAAAAAATACCACTGGAAGTACAATAGCTGAGGTTAGTGTAAGATTAAAAAACAAAAACAAACAAACAAACAAAATAAAACTGCTTCTATTTAACTTTGAAAGTTGTGAAAATAAATAACTTTATTTCACATGGTATAAAAATATCATATAATCATATAGTACTGTATAGCTATTCCTATAATACATTATATGTGAATGCTATCTAGAGATCATATTTTTTTTGCTGTTACAGAAGTAATGATTAGTGTGGTAGAGAAAAACACTGAAAAAATATCAGTTGGGCTCTATAAGATAAGCAGAAAGATCACCAATAAATACAAGCAAAACTGAGGAACAGATTTTTGATTCTGGTTAGAGAAATTAGAGACTCAACTAATTTTAGACGGAAGTCCAAATTTAATAAAAGTGCTTTTTGTTTTCAAAGAGTCCTGCACTTTTTATGGTAAGAAAATCTAGCAAGCAAATAGAACACTTTCCTCATGTTAATAAAAAGGAGCCTTAATGTAAGTGATGATCAAGCTCTTCGTTATGGGCATGTTTTTCTGTATAATAGTTACGTATTCACTGCACCCTGTTTATTACTACTAAGTATTAACTTTTTAATATTTAGATTCGGCGTTTGAGGATTGAGATAGAAAAACTTCAATGGTTACATCAACAGGAACTCTCAGAAATGAAGCATAATCTAGGTATGAAAGTGACAGTTCAAAATCTTGTGTCTATCTTTTGTCCCAAATAGAAAATTTAAATGCCAGAAGTATACATTGTCTTCATCATATGATACTACAAATTAGCCCTGTAAAGGATAGAATACCTTATGGAACGTGCTGTGTTGATGTCAGTGGATGCCATTTCAATCCATACACAAAGTACTTTTGCCTGTGCATAGTAAATAACAGGTGTTCAGTCCTCTGAGACAAATTCAGGCTATAGAGAGCTTTTGATAGGACAGAAAAATTGCTTTTTTTAATGCATCATTGGATAATCCCTCTTCAAGAGATATTTTATGCTGATTACTTCATAGTAACTAAGTAGGAAGCTAGCAAATGTTGTTCCAAGTTTTCAAGAAGGGTCTTGCTGTTGGAGGGGGGAACAGAAAATCCATCTTTCTTTGTATGTTGATCAGAACTGACAATGGCTGAAATGCGTCAGAGTCTAGAACAAGAAAGAGATCGTTTGATTGCTGAGGTGAAGAAGCAGCTGGAAATGGAAAAGCAGCAAGCGGTGGATGAAACTAAGAAGAAGCAGTGGTGTGCCAACTGCAAGAAAGAGGCCATCTTTTACTGCTGTTGGAATACTAGCTACTGCGACTATCCCTGCCAACAAGCTCACTGGCCTGAGCATATGAAATCTTGCACACAGTCAGGTAATCTTACTCTGGGTTGCATCTTTGTAGCTGAGGGAGTTAGGGTGGGTGTAATACACAGTGACTCAGTATTCCTCATTTCCATGCATGCAGATGTGCCTATGAAGAGTGAGTGATTGTGGACCAGCACACATGAGTAGTGGCTATTCTTTTCTTCTTTTCCTTTAGCTACTGCAACACAGCAAGAAACTGATAATGAAATTAGCACAGAAACATTAAATAAAACATCACAGCCCAGTTCAAGTGTGCAGCCTACACCCACAGAAACAGCCAGCACCCCCAAGGAGAAGGAAGTTTCATCTGATAAAAGCAAAGAGAGTGTTACAGTGAGTATCATTATGGTCACTTCAAACTAAAATAGTATGTAAGATTCCTCTGAAACCTACCCCTAAAGGCTTCCCTGGATAAGCCAGGAATTTGTAACCATTTGTGTATTTCAAACAGTGTGATTTGGGGAGTAAGATAGGCAGTTGTGGTTTGTTTGGTTGTTGTTGTTGTTTTTTTTTTGTTTGTTTTTTGTTTTTTGTTTTTCCTTCATCTTGGCAAAATACCTCCTTCTGTCCTCTGGGAACACCCTTTCCCCTTCACTCATTCCCAATAAAACCTTGTGTTGGCTTGACTCATCCTTCCAGCCAAGGGGGACTGGACCTCTTTCTCTCTCTCTCTCCAGGACCCATCAGTGTAGCTTCTGGTCTGGATCTTTCGATACAAGTTGCCTTCTGATAAGCAATACTGACTGCAGCACTTCCAAGCCCTTCTTGCCTGGGGGTTCAGAGGCCAAGCTCAAGACCTGCATTCAAATCAACTTGCTTTATCACAACAGACTGCCACTAGGGTACCACAATGTTCCATAACACTGATACAACAGTTCACCTGGATCTACAGTTAACGGAGCAGTGTGCAGTTATGAAATCCTCCATAGCATCTACTCTGATAGTATTCAGTAGGCAAGGATGAGCAAATGCTCTAATAAAAGGGACTTAACATTGCATATATAGAAAATGTTTATAGAGAAGATTTTGCTTTATAGGTAGGACTTGACTATTAGCAATTTCAGTACCGTTTTTCTTCTGCCCTTGCAAGATTTATTAAATGAAAAATTTTATGGGGGGGCTGATCCTTCAAACCCTTACACATGATCCCCTACATCCGTAGGAGCCTTGTTGTATTTTAAAATATTAAAAGCAAACTAATTTTGTAGTATTGTGATTCCAGCATGATGTCTCATTGAGATAGTCCTCTAGAATTGGGAAGCATAGTAAACTAGAGAGCTGTGTTCATTTCTTGACACTTTTGCTACTACTGTCTGATGTTAGATCTTTGGGCTTGACATGTCATCTAAGGGATTAACTTGGGAAACATTTAAAGAGGGGAAAAAGGATGTGCTGTTCCACCTGAATTCTTTGGGGAAGTTAGTTGAACTTTGGCTCAGTTGAAGTTCGTACGTATTGTCTGTGGCAGCACAACCATTGTATTACTGGAGAAATACGGGATGGGAGAAAATCAATTACCTAAAACTTTCGCCAGGGAATATTCCAGTTATACTAATCTGGAATTGCTTTCACGTAGGTGTTATACCTGAAACATCATGCTGTATACATTGATCATGTTCATAATTTGAATTTTGTTTTATTAACAAAGAAGTAACCTGTGAATTCATTAAGATACAAATTTTTAACACGAACAAAACATCCAACATAAATTTCATATTATAATAATTATGACTAGGTGGAATTTATGTAAAAGCTGAGACTTTTACTGAGGTTACCTGTGCTGTCTCTGCAGATAGCAACAGGTGTGACAAGCAACCAGCCTATAAAACTGGTCCAGGTACCGCAGACCACCACCTATATTCCAACTACTCAACCCACAATTGTAAGTACAATATCATCATTTAAAGTCTGCAGTAGTACTGTTCCTGGCATTAAAATTGCTCAGTATTTCTGGGGGGTTGTCTCCGTACACTGTTCTATCAAGATATGAATTCACTGGTGTAGTCTCAACTTGCAGTGCAAAATGTCCTATTTTGCTGTGCAACATTCCACCCTATCATTTCATCCATTGATTATTACAAAGGTTGAGAAGCTCTCAATAAGAACAGCTAAGGCACTGAGGACAGTCAGACTTCAATTTTTCCTTATTGTGTTAGTTATTTGTCCGTTTCATGTATATACTTGAAAACAACATCAATGTAAATATATAGAATTCATTTAAAATATCTTTTTGTCTATGGCATCCTAAAGAGATTTAATGAATTCTGAGCTATGCTTGATATTCCTGTGACATCTCAGTAACTCTGGAAAAAAAATACGCATTCAGCAGTAGTGTATCTCCCATGCAGTATTGCACATTAGCGTTATGAAATTATGAGAAATAGCATTGTGTTCAGACCTGTTTTTTTCCACTGAAAACTTTACCAAGGACACTTGAATACCCTAGTATCAGTCACCGGAGATGGGACAGAAGTGAGTTTGCTTTTTTGGGATTTTGCACACCATTCTATCGCATTCTTTCAACTTGTGGTGTTCTGCGGTGTTCACTTCAGAGTCAGCACGGCAGCTGAGCTGACATTCTTACCAAAAGAGAAATGCTGATACTGCACTGGTAACTGAACTGCATGCCTTGTCTCAGTGGGGGTTCAGCAGAGAAGCCCATGTTTGGGTAACTTCAGTTCATTTTCTGCCTGAAGTTAGATAATTTAAATTCATTTTCTTCCTGTGACTGTGACGCCTGGTTTGCTAAGTTATTCTGTCTTTCTCTCTCTCTGTGTACACACAGACATGCATGCACCTTCCCCCTCCAGCTGCAGCATACCACACCTGTGTGCGTTGGAGTATATGCACCTCCACACATACGCGTGTTTCATAGCCATCATGCTCCACACAAAAAATGTATCGCTTATAGTGGCTGTCATGACTTGTCACATTCCTAAGCATTTTTACTCAACTCATTTCATCTCAACTGAGAGCACTGTGCACCTTTGCAGGATTGGCATGAAGTTACTTGGACTGAATTCCCATAACAAGGTTTTGTGTGTGTTGAAGTCAAACGGGAAACATCAGTGAAGTTAGGTTCTTTTGTGAATAGCTGAGAGGTTCTAAGATCATAAAGTGGTTTCGTGTAATATTCAGAAAAATGGCAGTTACCTTCATCAGTTTTCTGTAAAACAAAGTGTATTGACTTATGTAAAGCATAAGTGGAACATCTGGAGGTTTCAACCTTTATTTCTGCATGTTTAAAACTTTGTACACGTATATGCATTAGTCTTGCACAGCTACAGACACCTCTGTATTCTAACAATTGCACGTGCAATTTAAATAATTTTAAACCTTAGTGCATGTTTAATATGTATACAAAATGTACATATGTGAAAAGGTGGCAGAGGTGGAGAATTTACCTCTCAGGGAATGATCCTAACACATTTAAGGAGTCTTGCACATTCCATTCATTCTAATAACTGAAACTTTTTTTTTCATTTGTGTAAGCGTGTATATTTAAAAGACAACTGTGGCAACCTTAATTTCCCCGCCTATACAACTAACAGTGACTTACACAATGGCTTCTTTAGGGTTCAATTTGCACTTTGTTTCCAGCTAGGAACTTCTCCCCTCTGAACAACTTCCAGTATATCTTCTGGGTACCATTTCCATTGAACTCTCTTTACACATCTGAAATCACTGTAAAATGACAAAAATCTTGAATTTATTTAGAAAGTTGGTTTCATTTTGGTTTTTATTCTTTCTGCAGTTAAATATTGTAAAAATTTGAATTCATCATCTTTGCATTCCAGGGAATGGAATGAGTAGGCTTCTGGAAGGCATAGACTTTGTCACAAAGGAGCTGATAAACACTCTAGGCTGTAATCCATCTCAGTAGGGATATTAACAGTCTTTGGTGAATACCATTAAGACACTAATGTGATTTCTTAAAACAATGTGGGGAGACATTGGGTTTCAGTGAACTTGTATTTCTTCTTCCGTGTTCTCTCTGGAACTTTACGCTAACAGTAAAGGGAAGACCTGGGCATCCCTTTCAGATTTCTCAGATTCTCACTTCTTGTTTCTTCCACTAAATATTGTGAACTGAAATGGATGCATTTGTTTGATCACCAGTTGTCCATCACTGGAATTGTATCAAAACATACTTGCAATTTGTATGTTACAGACATTTCTAAACTTTCTCACGTTTTTGTAGGAAAGGTAAGATAAAGGCTTAAGATTCAATAAATCCTTTTCCAGATCTTCCAGAGTGATGTGACCGTTACGAGATTGTTTAACATTCTTGTGCCTTTGTCTCTGCATCTGTAGAATCAATTACCACCCATAGAGATGTCCTGAAACTACATTTGTTAAGATTTATAGATCATGATCTGTATGATGGAAGTGAAAAATTTATTCTATATTAGTATTTTTACAGGGAGTATAAGACAGTTCCCAGTAATCCTGATGTTTTTGTTATCTATTTGTGTAAAAGTTAAGTACTTTTTTTGTTCAAATGGATGCTCTTTATTCTCTTTTGTGTAGACTGAATGCATGGGGGAGTTCCTTTTGGGGGAAAAAAAAAAATAACTAATGTGTAACAGGAATATACTTATAAACAAGGGTATTTTTGTACTCCGGTTTGATTTATCAAAACATTTTTCAAATGACAAAGGATTTTCTTAGCCCTTTTTCATCTCCCCATGTATTAATTTGGGGAAATTATGTAACTGGACGTAGTAACTTTGAAAACCTAATTCTCCTAGCATAGTACATTACCTATAAGAACAACTGTCCCTGTAATTATGAAGTAGTAATAATACAGTAAAAAACTCTTGGCTCTAGGAAAGTAATATACTACTTTCTGCCTTGGAATAAGGTGACATTGTGGTAATAAAGATTTTAATTCTTGCACAAAATTGGAACTTGTTCTGGATTTTCCCTGGAAAATAAATCTCTATTTCTGTGGTCATGTTTATATGACCTTTAACATAACAATATGTTTCTCTTGGTTTTAATTCACAGACCATTCCTGTAGTGGTAAGTCCTTCTGCTGGGACAGTGGCAATGAGAACTGGAGTTCAGTATGTTCAGACCACAATGCCAGTCCAAGTACGAAGAGTCTAACTGCTAACAAGAAGTCCATACAATTGTTGGAAAAAATAAATCTAATAGAAATGTGAAAAATAAACACAGTTCTTTGGATTAACCTCAAAGGTTCAGACTTTAGCTTTGTATATGTGTACAAAGCATTAACTACACTACATTAATGTAAAGCATTAGCGCTGGCTTAGAAAAGCTGAGGACAGGTAAGATCTGTGTTAAATCTATGCTTCTTTTGTAAATAATGTACAATTTGTGGATGTCATTAAAGTTAGAGTACCATCTCATTTTTATATTTGTATTGACTTTAACTTATAAAGAGTGTTTGAAGTTGGAAAAAGAAAGGTTTAAAATAGCCTTATCACAAGCTAACACTGAAAACTGGTCTCAGAAATTCACAGTTATGCATCAAATAATGTAATCAGGAGAATCTGAGCAACTTGATTTGCATTTGGATTGAAAACAATTTCTGCACTTTGAAACTCTTGTAGAATTTTTTGTTGAGCAACCAAATGATGAAGGGTATCTTTTTTTCTGTTAATTGTATTAGACGAATTATGACATTTCCAATCTGTGGACCTGAAAGACATATTTACATTGCTTTTTACAGTGACCAGACTGTTAAAATTGTTTACAAGAGACAAGTTGAAAATTCAGCCTAATATCAGGAAAGTTTGAAAGTGTAATACCAGCTGGTTGGTAGCATTATTTCTTATCACTAATATCAAAGATGAGAAAGGGTTTTGGTTTTGGCTTTCCTGTGCTTCACAGTTCAGTTTTATTTTCTTCTTCCTCTTCTTCTTCTTCTTCTTCCTTTTTAATCCTCTAAAAAGGACTTCGAAAAGTTTTCAAATGGAACAAGAGCTAGGTGTGGAGAAAAACATGGATCAGGAAACATGGGCAAAGGACTTTTGATGCTGGGCCAGAGCATGTATTATTTATATGATGGAATTTATGTTTTTATGTAAGCATGAAACAGTACAGTATGAGAGAAAGTAACCCATGAAAATGCTGTCTGTTACACTTATACTGTAGTACCATTTTGTATGTTGTGTAAAACGAAAGCATTGAACAAAGCAAAGGTGATGTATGTATATGAGAAAATTAATTGTATGATATCATTCCAGTACATTCTGTTGTACATTTTAGTCATGTTGATTTCTCCCATTGTTTATAAAAGAATGCGGTTTGTACAGTCTCCAGCTAGTTACCCATATTAGAGGGAAAAAAGTATTAGAAGAAAAAAGCGAGAACAGAATTATTCGTGAATTGCAGTTGTGTCAAAAATAGCCTAGCTGGCCTTATTTGTGAAGCATAATTGCTTTTAGCATATGGAAGTATTTTTTCACATTTTCTTTGTATAAAATTTGTATTAAACTTAAATATCTTTTTTGAAAATTGTGTTTCTTTGTGACTAAGACAGGTGACACGCGATATGCTTTGGGTTTCTCCAATTTTTCAAGAAACTTCACACTTTTTTATTAAACAGTTTTAGAAAAATGTTTTGTGTTCCTGAATTTCCAGTTCATTCAGTCTGGATGATTGCTCATTTCTGCACAGTCTCCAGATCATAGCTAATTTTGCTTATGTTGTGATTTTCTGCCTCAGCAATGTGGGACCTTTGAATCCAAGACTGTCAGATTTGAGAAAAAACAAAGCAGTGTTGACAGTCTGTAAGTAACAGTCCACGTATGTAAAGACTCATTTTAATAGCAGCTATGGTCCAGTGCTTGATGTGTAACATTTATTCATTTGTTGCATTGGGGCAGGACACAAAGGATTGATCGCACAGCTTGTCAGGTATGCTTGTGAGTTGAGGTGGGGACTTCCATGACAAGTCCTGCTGTAGTCCTCTGCCAGGGCATGAAGTAGGGCAAGACTGCTATGTGCCTCTGTTAAAAGAACCAGAGGGAGCTGAAATAGCTCATTGTAAAATCTTACTATGACTATTCTTTTAAAGTTCCTACTCCTGTAGGTATTTTGTTACATGCATTTATAAAATCAAACAATGTTCCCAGTGCTCCTGTTTAAAGAAAAGCACAAATCTTGCAAGCTTGAAATGATGTTTTGGCCTGCCCCATGTAGTTTGAATGTTGGATTAATAATGTTGGGATCTCTGAAGCCTCTATTTCAGTGATCATTGTTGTTATTTATTTTTATTTTAATGGGCATTTCTTTTTTCTTTCCTCATATGGGATAATAGGTGACCAAATCCCAGTGAGGACTTGTTATCAGGCCAGGGTATCAAGGTATCATCTTAGATGTTCTGGTGACTGGTGTCCTCCCCTCATTTTAGCTGGTTATGGTATGAAGTTCATCAGTTTTCTGATGATTTTATCTAACGTGAGGGAAGAACACATCTCTGGCTTGGACATACCAGAGGAGATGACACTGATGTGATACGAGTTTAAAAGATTGGCTGTAACTTTATTTAATACAAATTCAAATGTCATGACTGGGCTTAAGCTGCATTTATCACTTGTGTATGGAGTACCTCCTACCCCTAAGGAGTGTGTCTCTTACGTAGGAGCCAAGCTTGGGAAAGATCGGTGGGCTGGGTCTGCAACTTCAACTTTTCTGACTGTTTATCTGTTGCAGAACCTGATTCAGTCCTGGCTTGAAGACAGCCAGACTCCTTAGTTTGGAATCTGGAGGGGCTGCCCTTGGGTCCTCTGTCTGCAGAGGGCAATGCCAGTGATTAGGTGTTGAGTTGCTGGGGGCAAGGGATAGTATAAATAATGGGAAGCCTTTTTGGCCATATATCATTTTGGGACAACTTGTCTTCACTGTTCAGCTACAGGCAATGGATATGCCTCAGGTTTTCCATCTTGTGTTAATAGCCTACTAGGAGATATGGGCATATTACTACTGATTCCTTAAGTTTTGGGGAGAAAATAAGTTTTGGGGAGAAAATTAACTTTTCTTAGTTTGAACTTAGAAATCTCTATACTCTTCTTGCATTATCTCTTGGGCCTTCAGGAGGAAGAGATGGACACTGGAGTTCCTTAACTGGGCCAGTCATCTCTGAAGCTTTACCAAGAGATGATGATGTGTTCCTAGCTTTACCACACCTTCAGGAGCCCTGCACTGGTCAGAACGTGCTAATACAGCATTCAGGCTGCTCTGAGGTTTTGCTTTAGTCCCCCAGGTGGTATGATGTGGATGGAGTTTACTATAGCAAAGTTTCCTAACAGAAACCTGATGTTAGTATATGGGTGTGACGAGCAGACAGATGAAGTTGAATCAATGCCATGCAGCTGTAACTGCCGTGGTGGCAACAGCCTGGCTCTGGCAGCTCTGGCTGGAGAAGAGGGAGCTTTGTGGGCTGGCTAAGAATGCAGGGTTTAAGAATTTGCCATCAGTTGTGCTGTCACCTTCCTGTGCTGGTGCTTGGTGAATTAGGTTTTCAGTGCTTAAATCATGGAAAAGTGGTTATAGAGCAGAGGAACATGGAGCAAACAACAGCAACACAGCTCTTCTAGAGCCAAAGGCTCCAAGTTTCTCATCCTCTACAGTAGTGATGTGTCAGTTCAGAAGGGGTGCTATAGGCTCCACTAGTCATGCTCAGTCTAAGCTTATCTATAACCAACTGAAATTCTTTACAGAGAGGTGGATCCACGCCACCAAAGTCCCTCTGAATAACCCTTTCTTTGTGTGAATTACAGAGGATAGTTTTTAAAAACAATTGTACAGTTGCAGCTTAATTGAAGGCATTTAAAAACCTCGCTAAGCCAAGATTCTGTTAAGCAGCTTAACATTTTGTCTAGAGGAAGCTTATAGCAGAGCCTAGCTGCCATCATGTGGAAAAACGCGAGAACTGCAAGGAAAAAATACAGGAAATTAGCAAAGTAATGACATGTGCTTCCATCCCCAATAACAAGGTACATTTTTGCAACAACTTCCATTACAGTTTTTTGGTTGTTTGACAAAATGCTATTTTGTTATTGCATCTGAATTATTCAAAGCTTGGCAAGGTCCAAGTGTGATTTTTGGCAGAGCTGTTTTTAGAAATCGTTCAAATCCAAGTTCTGTTTCAACTAAATAACTGAAAGTTTTAAGACAAAGAGACCTAAGAAGATAGCATCCTTTCCTGCCTGCCATCTCAGTGTTATTTTTGGTTGGTAAGAGCTATTTGCTTTGTGTTACACTCCACAAAACGAATGACTTGCTAGAAGTAGCAGTTGAGAGCAGATAGGTGGGAAGACCCTAAGGATAAAGTTGGGGAGGGGGGAAGGGAAGGAAATATTTTGTTTCAGTCCTGCACCTGAAGAGGATGGAGGGGAAAGGTATGTGGTATGGATCATTCCCTACAAAACACATAAAGCTTTTGCAAAAGGAGTACATTAGGTGAGCGCAGTTTGGCAAATCATTCTCTATAGGCTCCAAGAATGAATGAGCACTGCTCATCAGAGAGCTAGGAAATGTACCTGAGCTTCAAGCCAGGCAAAAGCACAGGCAGAACTGAAATTTGACATGATGAGCAAAAGGTGCTCTTAGAAAATGGAGCAAATCTGTTAAATTCCTCTCTGGGGCAGCACTTGCAGGGACTACAGGTGAAGGGAAAAGCAACTATGCCCAGAAAGCCTGTTTCCCTTCACTGTCTGCTGGGAGAATTCCTTGATATTCGATTCCCAATGACAGCATAGGTCATGAATCTGTCTTCATCTGATCTTTGTCGTGATTGCAAGTTTTCCATTGTGTGTGTTGCTTTTTGTGTTACTTCTCATTTTAAGTATTCTGTATATTTGCTGTTTTCAGGACAAAAGGACTTCACAACTCAATTTGCTGTGGCCTTTTGCTCATTTTTCAACAATATAAGTAACTGAAACTTGGGAAAATAATCTCCAGGTTTCATTCTACTTTTAGTTTTATATATTGAAATATGCATGTTAAAATTAAACTGTTACCTTCTTATTTAGAGTCCTGGCATGCAAGAAAACCTTATGGTGAAAAGTGGAAGAGAAAGGATACTATGAATTATTGTGGTCTGTTTCTGCACAGTACCTTGTAAGTCTGCTGAATAAACAGCATTAGATACGAAGTTCTGGTCATGCAGAAGCTAACTGAGGTTTCAGGGATAAAACTTTGACCCTGATGAAGCCCACATACAGTATGCTACTTAAGAATAACTACCATAAGTGAGGAAGGTCCTTACCTGACAGAGAAGAGATGGTCAAGAAATGCCAGAAGAGAGGGAGAAGGTAACACAGCTACATTAAACACTTCTAGGAAAAGCAAGAATTGCTCTGGCTTTTAGAAGCTGCTTTTAAGAGCCAAGTGATAACGTATCTGTATGAATTTATCTCCCAGTCACTGCAGTCTCAAGTCCCTGCAGCAGACCATCAGCACTTGAGTTGCACTTACAGCAATAGATTAAATACGTATTTACTGTAAGTCAGCATTTCAAACTCCATTCTGTCTAAGAAGTACGTAACAGGTGAATTACTGCCCTTAATTTCAGAACAGAATAACTGAATGATAAACTTTTTCAGCTTTTTCTCCCATATCTGAGAAGTTTCTGGCTGAAATAGGCAACCCACATTATGCAAGTTTTCCGTTTGTTGCTTTGGGAAATAATTGAAAGTGCAAACAGTAAACATGCTGTGAGGCTGTAATAGTCTGGAAAATACTTTTAAAATGCTGTAAAGTATTTTAAAAATGGCTTCCAGTGCATGCCTTTGCAATTGAGTATTTTGTCTTTTATAATAGAGATTGGTCTGCCCACATTGTTGGGGTTTGGGGAGGAGGTGTTGGAATCACAAAACCTGCAGCTGCTCCTGAGGAAAAATGAGTTTCTTTACTTTCCTTGATCACAACTCCACCAAATCAACAGGAATGCAGGAAGGTGCTTTACCATTACTGGTATGGGTTATTTGTTTTGTTTTTTTGTTGTTCATTGTTCCGATAGGAACAGACTGAAATGGAGGCAGTGTAGATGGCTGTGGTAACTCATCACAAGGCTTCTGCTCTGGTCAGCAGGAGTTACCAGCTATTTTGGTGATACTGCCCCATGCGGGTGCTTAGAGGGGAAAGGTTATATACTCCCACGTAACCCTTAGCTTTGCTGTATTTTGCAATATCTGCTGTCTCTAGGAAAATGGCTTGATTTTTCTTTCATCCTTTTGACAAAGGGTCTCTTCTTCTCTGCTACAGCAGAACAGGAATTTGGGGGTTTTGGGGGTTCACATGACATGGTTTGAGGTGTAGGTTGTTAGTTCTTCTAGTATTGTTATTTTAAGCCCCAGCTTTTTCAGACATCAAATACACGTGTCTGGGATCCAAGTGGTACCAGAAGATCACAGCAGCAAGGAAATCTTCGCTCTGGCCCCCAAGTGAGACTCTGCTTCCTTTACAAAAGGTTAGGAAAACAGTTGAGATTATGGCATACAAAGGGTCTGATTATGAAATTATGGGAATATTAGCAATCAGTAATTGGTAGCTTTAAAAAGCTGTTTTCTTTTATTCTGCAGCATTGTATTCATATGTCATCTATTTAACTATGAGGGAATGATAGTGTAGAGGATGTGATGAATATGACATGCAAGTTTAGAGGCTTTTTTTTTTTTTTTTACTTGTTTGGAAACGTATTTTGGTCAAAGTGTGGGAGAGGAGCTGTGACAGCAGCTACTGCACCCTGATACTACAGTCCCATTCAAGAGTCCAACCGGTGTTATCTCACCAGGTATGTGTTTCACATCCCCTTATCTACTTAGGTTCCAACAAGTTTGAATTAGAGGTTCAGAAGTGTACTAACATACTGCCACTTTGTGTATTGTTCTGCCATTTTGGGGCAGAATTTGGTATCAGCCATCTTTTTAATAATGGTACTAACATGATTTGTTTGGTTTGTTCACCTCAGATTCAGCTCTACTGCTACTTATTTGAGAATGTGGTCACATTATAGCTGTACTCTGACCTGGTTGATGATGTAACTGTGAAAGGATTTTATGCTGTAACTGTTCAAATGCATTGAAACAGTTGAAAATACTAAGCCGTTTGTGTTCAGGAGTAACAAAATGTTACAGATACATTGAAACACAGGTGAAAAGGCCAAGCGAAGCCCCTGTATGTGTGGGGCATGCATGTGTTTGCAGGCCTAATGTATGTTCACAAATAAAAAGCTGTTACAGATACCTTCTTCCAGCCATCTGATTCCCTGGAACAGTAAATCTTCATGGTCTGGCTCTAGTGAGAGATGAATACCTGCTACTGTGACTGGAAGGAAACACTACGCTAAGTCTGACAAACAAGCATTCCTAACGCTGGTGTACACCACCCTCATCAGTTCTGTTACCTGTGGGTAAGTAAAAATCATTAGCTGGGAGGATATATGGAGAAACAGTAATATAGTAAGTGGAGCACCAGCAGGCACTAACAGAGAACAAAATGCCGCCAAGAACTTTGGAGACAGAAACAACAGAGCTTGAGAATCTTTAAATACAATCAGAAAGCAAAATCTTCTAAGAAGCCTTGCGGGCTGGGTGGGAATCACTCTTGACTCAAATAAGGCAGGTGTTAGATTTGGAGTATCAAGCAAGAGCAATTAGCTGATTGACAGGGTGTTAAAAGCTGAAGTCTGCTATCCCTGGCAGACTTGTTCCTTTTTCAGAAGTTTTATTCATAGATGTGCTTATCTTGCAAGTATCTGTCAGTTCTCCAGTTTGATTTCTTTGACTTGTGATAAAACTGCCTACCTGTGACACTCATACACTGCTGGAAAACCTTGAGGGAAAAATTCTACCAGTTGCCTCTCAGCAGACCCTGGGACAAGCAGTGCCTCTGCTAGAAAAATCACATTTTAATTTGTGTGTGTTGTACTCAGCCCAGAGACCAGCTCTTTGCAAATGCCTCCAAAGCATGTACTCGCAGGATGTTTCTGTTCATGCCTGCTGTTGATGAGTATGGCTAACATTTTAAAACTGCTGCAGGGCTGCAACATTTTTAGCCCAAGACTGAGATCACGTTCTCTGTTTGAGTCCTGCAGAAAATCCCCTCTCAAATCTAGCAATGAGTCCGTTTCCTGTGGTAAAAGTATTTTAACATTGGGAGCGTCACTCAGGCTTGTGTAGCACTTATGTAACACTTGTAATTTGTGCAATATATGTGTGTTTGATCGTGTTTCACACATGATAGATAAGGGGATTGTGTTACTTGCAGCGTTGCTCTAACACCTTGTTCCTGTGAGGTCATTTGGTGCAAGCAAGAAAGAGCAGTTTTGAAAGTGAATCAGATTCAGCCAAACCCAGAGAACTGCAACATTTTGACAGCAAGAATTAACTGCCAGTTCAGCAGAAATCCTAAAGCTGAAACATACTTGTAGATGCATTTATTTACATAAAAATAAATATGCACAGCTGCAATATTTGCTTGCCCTGTATCTTCCTCTGCAAGAAAAGTTGGATTTGCTGACTATCCATGTTCTTTTCCAGTGGACAAAGCCACTCTCTTCACTCTGTGCACCAACAGACAGAATAGTTGGCTACAGACTCCGTTTTGCCTCTGAGGGGCTGTGTTCAGAGTCGTCCTAATCCAACCCCACCTTGAAAGGAGGAGTACGTATTCTACATATACTCCTAGGCCCAAGAGCGGCTGGAGAGAAGAGAAGGCAGGTAACCTAGTTCCCCAAAATGTAAACATTTTTTTATTTAATGCCTTTCACTCATCACAAGGTACTTTTCCCCCACCCCCAACCCCCCAAACCAAGATGGCAGCATAAGGCACCGTGTAGACACATGCACAGTCCACATACCATCCATGTAAGATTTAAAAACACAGCTATAGTTCTTACCGGCAGTCCCATGTGTCCTTATTGTTACTGTACACAACATGATTTTCCCCAGAGATTGTCCTGGAGAAATGCACTCTTAATTTAGAATGGCAGGACTCTCCCCACCCACCCACCCACCCCAAAAAGCCAGATTAAAAACACAGGTACAGAGCTTAATACCAGAGTAATGAGATTAGTTCATAAATTAAAAAATACAAACAAAAAAATCAACAGTTTCACTCTTATTTTCAGAAGGTCCCATGTGATATGATGTAGTATGCACAGAGCATGCTCACAGACTCTTTACTATGTCCTCTTCCCCTTTTAAAAGAAAACTGACAAGTAGACCCAAGACTTCTAGTGTTTGTTGTCGATGGCAAAAAGGCAGTTACAGCTCTGTGCATCCGGCTTAAGCGTGTAACTGCAGGCTCCCCAGAGTTATCTGAAGGCTTTTCCTCTGTTCAAAAGAAGAAGGACTTGGTACAATGTTCTTTGGCTGCAAGTTCTTAGAGGCTTCCACTGAAAGGGTTCTCCTTCAAAAAAAGAAAAACTGCAGTTGCTGTGGGATTTTTTTTTTTTTTAATAAGAAAATGCTGAGGAATAGGCGGAACCGATGTAATAGTTTGAGTGAAGCCCTCACAGTGCTAAGATGTTGGGGTCTGCTACAAATATTCAAGTTCCAAGGCGTGCCGAAGAGCTTCCAGGTCAGCATGACAAGAGATTCTCCAGAATGGCATGTTGTGCTAGAGTGAAACCAAAAGAGGGTTTTTTGTTTTGTTTTGTTTTGGTGGATGTTGTTGTTTAATACTGAGATGAAAACAAATTTCTTAATTTGGACCCTCAATAACAGAGCTTTGTACTTGGGCCACCGGGTTGTCATGGTGTCACAGGCAAGGAGGCTCATCTTAGAGAGAAAGGAAGGAAGAAGGAAGTTTCTATTTGCTGAGGCATTTCTTCTATGCAGAGAGGAAGGAAAGATCTGCCACAATTTGTGAGTGTCCTGCTTCAGGGATGATGTAGGATGCAGGCAGACTTTCTGAATGTACTAGCCACTAAACTTTACCCTTGTATTTTTTTTTAGGGATTAATTAAGAAAGTTTCTAGAATTTCAGTACTCTTAGAAACAATTTTCTTGCCACTTTATGATGTTTGCCTATAGTAACAAACTACACAGGATTCTTAAGCATTGTAATCCTATCCTCTAACGCAAGGTTCAAAGTTATTCTGTTTCCTGTAAGTGAAAGCCAGTGCATCACAGCCAAGTAAACAATATATTTATCACAAAATGAAGTTATTTAAACTTACAAAGATGCAATACCATACAGAGACAAAATGCTTTCTAACAATTACTTCCCTTTCCTAATTAACTGGAGCAATAGGTCATGCTACATTTCCTGGAAAGGTAGGAACTGGTATCACTGCTCAGATCGATTTTTCATTTAGTGTAACACTGCTGCCTCAGAGAAAGGTGCAATAGGTTTATATGACAATCCGTCCTCAACAAAGTCTCCCAATTCTCATTTTTGAGAGACTATCATATGTACCTCTGCCTCCCTGTTGTTCAATTCATATTAATTGTGATAAATCTGAAGTAATGTATACAAATGTCCAAGTTCTAACCAGTCATGCCACTTGATATCCTAGCATCTAGACAAATCAGCTATGACCTACTATTAGCTTCTTTATGATAATGAGATCATCTAATGAGAATTGTGAATATACCATAGGAAAACAAAACACCTCTGAAAGATTCCAGCTTTTTGTAAGTGCTGTGAAACAAGAGAGATTCAATTAAACAAAGGACCTGAGATGGAAACTATAATCTGGTAAGGTATAAATAGTTCTATCAAAGTCCAGTTTTAACAACATAGTTCTGTAAAGATTAGCAATGGCTGCAATTGCCATGGCCACTTTTTATGTGAAAATATCAAAATAATTAGAATTTGCTTTTAAATGTTAAATTCAACTCTTCTAGGTATGTTCTGGTCAGCCTGTGGTTTGAGCTGCATTTGTTTCTTATCCAAAACAATTCAAACAATTTTACTTTAGATCAAAGATACGCAGCTCATACTTGCACTTAGATTTTATGATAAGATCGTTGTTTTCTTAGCTTCCTCCCAGAATACAGGTATCTGTACAGTCAACGTGAAGTATGCAGTAACTAAGCCTTAATTGACAAAGTGTATTGCCCTTCTAGTGTGAGAATAATTCCTGAATTTATCACTGTAAGCATACTGTTTCTGAATAAATAGGATAAACAAAGCTTTAAAGAAGAGATGATGCTGATGAAGGGAGAAGATCCTTTTCCAAGTCTACCTACCTGTATAAAAAAACCTCCAGTGTAGTGTCTATTGCCACGCATCTGATGTTTAAATACAACTCAAGTTTCCCTCTGGTATGTTGCCTATCAGTAAACAAATGCTTCCTTCAAGCTATTCATCAGTGTGTGTAGAAACAGCAAGCAAACACAGACCTCTGAAGTGCCTGGACTCCATTGCTCTGCAATTTCACTTTAAGAGGAAGAGTTACTTCCTTCTCCCTTCCCTTCCCCTTGTTATTATTAAACCCCTCCCATTAAATTATCTATTTTTCCTTCTTTAAAGGGAAGAAAGCTTGGTCTCCCAGCCTCTCCTGCTGCTCAGCATTTACAGATTTACCACTCATCAGACAGGTGAAGAAAAATGACCCACTAAAAAAAGGAGATATTATCAGTGCTGTCGGCAAAACAGTGAAAGGCTCTTTGCCTGCCCTCTCTCTCCACTTTTTTTTTGTATAGAGCTCAGGTGTGTAGAAGTCTTGACTAATGATAGTCATCAATCAAAGGAGGTGACAGCCCAGCAAAGAATGTGCTCTACTAATGGGAGAGCTGCTTAGGCCAGGAAACACAAGCAAGAGGACTCTTGAAATCCTGCCTCTGTGAGCCCGCTGAACCTTCCCACATCTTCATACTGCCAGGGAGCCTGGTGGCCTTTGATGCAGTCATGTTCACTGACCCACTACCTTTGAAGTATGGTACTGGGCTGTCAAAAGCAGCAGCCTATTATCACTTCATTCCCAGTCATGCATTCTGGACTCATCTCTGAGGACTCCTTAACCCTTCATGAACTAGAGAACCCTCTGCAAATCTGAGCAATTTTCAAAGGGGTGGGATTTGTTGTTTTATTAGTAAGGCTAAATGTATTATAAGAAGGAGGGGTTTGATAATGACTTGAGATACAATTCTGGGGCTAGAACATGTGCTGACCACCTTATTTATTTGCTGGGATCCTTTTGTTCCTGGGTTTATGCACCCACAGGAATTAGATTTGTTTGAAAAGTCTTTGCAGAAGCTTCGTTCAGAATGAGATGTCAGGTTCTCCAGCATAAAGTCAAGCCTCACAGCTGAGTTACCGTGATGTAATATTCTGTATATTACCTAAGCTACCACAACCATCTGTGTGTCTCCTAAAAACTAATCAGTTTGCTGAAGATGGGCCTCCATGCAGTCAATCCCTGCATCTCGATTCAAGTGCAGTACTCCTGAAGCAAATGCAATTCAATCACATTGCTGCAGGTACAACAGGAACACAAAACTCAAGATGCACAAAGATATCTTGAAATTAATGCTTGCCACTAGAAAACTGTATTCCTGTCTCTGTAAAGCTAAATAAACAGAGATTCCAGGCAGGCTGCTGTTCTAAAGATTAGGAAATGAAAACTGTGGCACTTCAAATCTTACGTTGCACAATTTAGTTGATAAATGTGACTACTTTCTGTCTTCAGTTGTTACCTTACTGCCACTCTTGTGTTTCTCTGATACACTGACATCATTTGTGCATGGCAGAAGGTAATTCCTTGCTGTAACTCTAAATCTCATTTTTTTCCTTGTAAATCATTGTAACCAGAACATGGGCTTTGGTCTTCTTAAACTTTGCTTGTACTTTCTCTGAGCTCTGGAATCCCAGCTTCTCTCCTCTTACAGCCTACTGAAAAGAAAGATGCTTCAGCTGGTCCCTGAAACTTCAATTCCTGTTTCACAATGAGTGAACTGCGGACACTAATGGCTGTAGAACTCAATTGGATGCAAGGGTTAGTCCATTTAATTATTTCTATGTCTACCTATGCCAGTGGGCTACTCATCAAGCATGAAATGTTACAAACTGTGGGCTTATCATTCCTGACCATACTGCTGTCAGAGTTTTTGTTCTACTTCAAATTCTGTATACCTTCCCAATTTCATTTTGCTTGTGAAATTAATCACACTGATCAATAAATCATTAATATAGGCAACAGCTCAGTACTGGTCCTTTTGGTATTTACTGTAATGATGTTATGCCCTATGACCTCACTGAGTCATAAATAGAAATAGAAGTGTGCATACATGCATGTTCTAATAGACCATTCAAAACGAATTCCAAGAATTTGGACTTCACAAAACAAAAATAACAAAAACAACAAAACAGCTACAGATCAGAAATTCACCCTGCTTGCTCATCTGAGATCACACACTGGAGTTTTCCTTTTCTTGTGTTTAAAGCCATCTTTATTAAGCAAGAATGATTCCTGGAACACGTGACAGAACAACTACCTGAAAAATTTCACTAACTGCCAAGGTGGAGGGAGGATTTACAGTATGAAATAGCTCACATGGTTGTTAAGCCATTTGCATATTAAGAAATTAGACCAATTCTAAGCTGTTTCAAATGGAGGGAGCTTCATTAAATGCTTAAGTAAAGAATGAGCCATTGAAATTAAAATGTGGAAGAATCCAGGATGGCATCCACAAACTGTACCTTTTTTGCTCCCTGTTCCTCTTCAACACCGTCTCCTATTACAATGTACACGGCTTTCCTTCCAAACCTTTGCATTATTCTTTCAAAACAGCTTTCTTTCCCTGAGAAACAGAAGATGCATATTTTATCTGTACACATACAACAAGTGGGGCTGACATTCAGGTACTGGAACTGAAGTTGGAACCTAATTGAACTTGCTGCATTGCTCATTTCCTTTAGAAATTAGAACCCAACTTAATCTTCATGTGAGATGGATTCTTTCCATCCCATGAAAGCTACTAGCACTTTCTTTATTAGCTGAAGACTTCTAAGTGCTGCAAGTTTTCTGTAACCATTGTGACTGATGAATTACTTAGACTGGCCATTGGTAGAGTGATACGATGGTCATCATTTTCAGTTTTGAGAGCCCTCTTCTGCTTGTTCATAAAAAACAAACCTCAAAAGTTCAAACACTTAAACCAAAAGGGACAGAAAACAAAGCAAAAAAAAACTCCAAGCCAACCCTATCAATATTTATTACTCTCACAGCTTCATAAAACTCATTCAGCACACTTGACTCCAGCAAGAGCAACAGGATCCAAACAGTGTTTCTGTAACACGTACAACCAGACTGCCTTCCTTCTAGCTAGGTGCAGTTAAGACCCAACATACTTTAGCTGCTCCACAAGGTGGATATTTTTCAGACTTGTTCCCTCCCAGAGATGCTTGGGAAGACTTGATTTTTTGTACTCTGTACTAGCTTAAGTGTGGTCAGTCAGGATGCAAATCACAGATGTGTAAACATGGAGCTAAAATGAAAGTTCACACATTGCTTGTTGTGATCAGGTTGAGTGGATGTGCCTGACTTAGGGACAAAAATTCAATCTGTCTTTGGTGAGGCATAAGTTAGTTTGTTCTTACCTGTTTTTGTTGCACTGTAAATATTTTCAATGGGGAAGACAGTGCCCAGTCCATAGAGAAGAACTTTTGCAAGAGCTGGTATAAGCTGAGTTGTGGTGACCAACACATTCACACAGTTAGGCCTAGAAAACAAAAGTTAGTAGAAATGGCAATATGTGTTTCTCTCTTTTACTCTAAATTGAAAGATGGCAGGAAGCAAACCTTTCTTGCAAATGCAAGTTCTCCAGCCAAGGGCAATTATGGAGCTAGAAGGATTATGAAGGTAGAGGCAGGTAATCTTAGTACTGGTATTGTCTCTATATCAATTTAATAGAACGAAAAAAAAATACAAATCATCAGCAGTGATGCAGCCTTACTGCATGCATGCCAGGATCTATTTTGCAGGAATTTAAACGCTATCTAGGTAATGGCCATGCTTTTGTTCTTTTAGGATGTTCAGGGATAGAAGGGCCCTTTCCTTCTCTAAATCTGTGCACAGGAAAAGTGTACTGCAGAGGAGTCAGTCATGGAAAGGCAAGAAATAAGGGCTGGTTTTTCTTTTGCTCAGTTCATCATCTCAAGCTAACCCCAACACGTCTGACCAACATGTGCAGACAGGCCTCCCACAAGTTTGGCCAGCAAAGTCCTATAAATGTGTCTCAATTTGTTTAGAGGGGGAAAAAAAAGGGAAGCAAAGGAGATCCTGGATCAAGCCCGTAAGCAATTCTTTAAGCTGTTCTTACCGGGAATGTATCAAATTCAGCGCCTTCAGAGCATGTGTGAGCCAGAGATCAGTCAGCGCTTCGAGTTCTGCTCTTAACTGCAGCCAGGTTTCCCTCTTAGGAGCTCCTATTAAACCTGTAGGCAGGGAAAGCATCTTTGCAGAAGCACAGAAAGAGAGCTGCGTGGCTTTGTATGTAGTATGCCAAAGGCCTCCCGGCTGTGTTCTGAATCCTGCCTCTCCTAAAGGCCTTTCTCCTGGCCTCAGTGCAGGCTGCTCCCCTTTACCCACAGCCATGTGACTGCAAGGTTCTGCTCTGAGGTCCATAAACCCAAACTGCAACACATGCCTGTGCTACTAGAGCTCAGCTTCCTTCCTCTCTGAGGGAGTAGTATCAGTCACCCGCAGTCTGCAGGACCACGTTAAAACATCTTGGAGTTATCACAGAGCTCATATGGGAAATGAGCAAGAGGACAAAAGAGCCGTGTATAGGGGCTGATGTCCTGTGCTGGAGCCAGGAAGTTTTTTTTTTTTCCTCCTGAAAAAGCCATGCACCATTTCTAGTAAATGTGGGAGGGTACTCCTCCAACAAAACAACAACAAAAAGTCTGCATTTTAACAATTCTTAGTTTTACTTCTTTTTTGTCACAGACCTGTTGTTGAAGTTCTAAAAGAGAATCAGAAAAACCTATTGGAAGAACTGGTGGTATTGCTTTAGGGGAGTTAAAAGCAAGTAGTTATGTTTTCAGACAGAAATCAGCCCTGTGTTCTTCTGTGGAGAATAAATAAATAAATAAAAACCTATTTAGTTTTAAACTGTTTGCTTGCTTACTAGACATTTTGGAAAATTTGAGAAGGCTGCCCTCTGGCCAAAGTAATAACAAAATAAAGCCCATGCTCAGACTTCAGTCCTTCTCCAACCATTAAACCAAGTATTGTAGCATATCTTCTAAAAACCTCATACTGAATCCTCATTTAAGAATGACTGCTGAAACACTTGCTCAGCTCAGTGTAAAATATTCTTATCACAGTGTTCTCTACACCTCCTCTACAGCATGCTTCTAGCAGGGTCAGAAGTATTTGAGATGATGAAAGGCATGCTTGCTGTCTGGCAGTAAATACTCACCCCCTACATTGTTTTTGTAGGTGTTGTACATCTCTTTCACCCGGCGGTAGCGGAATGCTAATTTCCTCATCCAGTCAACTCCCCCGTGAACGCCTGAGCCCAGACATAGATTTGCACTGGCAGTTGAACTGTGAAAGCCATCTGCAGAGAAGTTATATGTGCTGGGAGAAGGAGGAGGGAAGGGGAGAGGTCATTAGAATCACAGTCTATACAGTGCCAGCAGGGAGCGGAAACAACTGAAAAGTGATGTGGAGTCAAGTGGCAGCAGAGATGTACACAGCACACGCTGTACAGCCGTGGAGTTCATCCTTGCTGCCTGCTCTCACCCACGTATCCCAGAAGGGCGTGTGCCACCCTGCCTAATGCTCGTTTCCACTGTGTAACTTTTCTGTGTGCAACTAGAACCAAAAGATTTGAAAGGGCATTTGTGGCCTGTTATTTTTCATTTACTTGAATGATTTATTTCCAGGCTAGGGAATCAGCCTGGTTGCCAGACCCATGATCCCACACAGTCATTAGCCTCATCTCTGAAAAAAAAAACAGCGACAACTACCACAACTGTAAGCAGTACAGGTTGTTTAGCACTTCCTGTCAGTTCTGAGGTTCTCTGGACTACAAAACATCTGACTGTCCTCAGGTCACTGAAAATTCTTACCTGCCTGTCATCCAGGCTGCTAAGCCGCAGAAATAGTCAAATCTTAAAGAATTTTTCTGGCTGCTTGGCTATATTGTTAAACATGAACTGAACACATTAATCAAGAAAAAAAAACATAACTAAACAAGCCTTAAATGCCTGCACTGTGTAAAGCTTTTTAAACAAAAACTGAATGAAAACTTCAAAGCAACCCCCAGGGTAATTACCACCATGGGTGGGGGCTAGTGGCAGTTCCACTGGCATTCTAAACTGACAATGTCTTGGAAGGCAGCAAGCCTGTCTTCCAGGTGTTTGTTCCTGTCTTGAGCCCTCCTTGATGCACCTCGCTTTGTATCAGTGCAAACATTTCTTTAGCACTGAGGTGCATCAGATCAGGGAACTGTTCCAGTTTAAAGACAATATAGTTTAAAAACAAGCAAAGAAGTTGCTTTTCAGCTGGATCAATTCTGTGAGAATATGGCTGGGGGTGGGGTATGGAGCAGCTCGCGTTATTCTAACATGTTTGCTGGATGGCAGCGTCAGGGTGGGTTTCAGAGCTTCAGCAGAAGGCAGACTGGGCTGCAGTTGAAGAGGGCAGCTGCACTCATGGGACACAGTCTGCTGGGTCAGCTCACACACCCAGCAGAGTCAGACAAACTGAACCAGAGCAAGGGAAGAGACAGAAATGCTAAGAGACTCAGACCTAGCGTTCCTGGGCTACATCTTGAAGCCAGCTCAGCTTAAAGTGCTTCTGGTACCTCACTGGGGCAGTAGCCAGTGCATCTACATTCACATCCTGATTTACTATGCAGTAATTTCCCCTTCTTGAAAGCTCTGAGGCCAATTTATTTCAGTATTAGAACATCCAGATAAATTTAACATGCTTAACGTATTTCAGTTAGCTCAACTTCATATCCCGCACAGACAAACCATAAGCATGAGAAGTATCTACAACTGAAACCACTTAGGGGCTTTTCACAGGATTCATGATACACTATTAGCTTACAGCTTTTGTTGTTGTTGTTCACTCAAAGTAATTGCACTGATTGAGATAAAATCCAAATTATTATTTTAATCAATGTCTGAATATTTATCCAGACTCACCTGCTAACAAGCCACAGGAGCCAAAGGACCAAAACATGCATGTGCCATTTCAGTGCATTACAAAGCACAAACCATCAATTCAGTTTCAGCAAAAAATCTTTTGAGTGTTCTCTACAGAAGGAGAAAGCTTTTCTAGAAAACTGCTCCATTGTTTTCTATGCTGCTTCTGCACCAATTTCTCATAACAACCATCCACAAAAACACAAACTAAAGTTTTGTAAGAGCTCTGCATATCTTTTTCTTGCACTGATCACAGTGACTACAAGCAAAACTTTGGGAAAGGTAAATGTAATCGTACAAAAATAGTTTTTATGTACATGATTAATGAACTTAAACAGGCAATATTAATAGTTAGTGCAGTTTTGGTGTATGTTTACACCAGTGACAAGGCTGTGGCTTTGGCAAGGACCACAGTCCATACAAGTAAGCCCATTTATTACAGATTGGGCAGTGGGAAACCTTTCAGTCTGGTTTTGAAAGGGTTTGGCTACACTTGTGCCAACTGGCTGGCCAAATCATGTTGGAAACCAGTGTAGTCAGAGCAAAGTTCACCCTAATTTTAAACATAATTCCTAGAATGGTTCAAAGCTGAGCAAGGTCAGGGCTTGCCAGTAGGCACAGGCAAATTAATGTGTGAACACCAGCTCTGTACTTCTGTGTGTTTAATAACTGCAGACAGCATGGAGCCAGGAAGGGGAGAAGGCACATGGCCAAGGAAGTTTTTTTACAACACTGACCAACCCCTGCTATTTTCAAACAGCTGGGGACTACCTGGCCTGCAGCTTCCACCCGGAGATCCCATACCTTAGATCTTGACCATTATCATCTGACGATACATCATCTATGTGGATCTGGTCACAGTCCTGAGAAGCGTATGAAAAAAATACATCAGTAAATAAATACTTTGAAAAAACATTTTAAAGAACACTTCATGTAATGAAAAATGACTTCAAGGCTAATGCTACGAGAAAATCTTACACGTTGCCAACACTGTCTAGTACAGTATAGCTAGCTGACTGTTATAAACAATATTACACAGCACTTGCATAAGTAACTAACTGTGTGTGAGACAAGCTGTTATCTAAAGGCACAACAGCTCCTTAATAACGCACTAAGTGGAATTCCTTCCTATGCAGATATGAGGGAGAGAGAGGGGCTTGTCTTTTAGCCAGGAAAACTGTTTTGTAAATGTTGTTATACATGATAAGGCACAGATTTGGCAGCCTCTCCCACTGTGACAGTACTTCTTTGGACAGAAGGTGTATCCCCACATAATTACAAGGGGAGATCTGTCTCAGAAATTTCCAGAGACACCTGTCCTGTTGGTGTTTTCCCAGGGCATACCGAGGGGGTTCAGCTTCCTTTGATGTGCAGAGAAGCACTGAAGAAGGCACCCTTTCATAGCCCTGTACTGCAGAGTTAAGAAATAATGTGTCAGTAATGAGGAAATCCACGGACAGGAAATTTAACCAGAAGGTACACTTAGAGCTCAGCCTGCATGAAGTACGTACTCAAGATCTTATCTTGCAAAATTCTTCATTGTTTGAATCACGGAGGCCCTGCCTCAAAAACTTGAGAAATGTTGTTTCTATTGTTTCCTTCCTAGTCTTAACACCATCATTAGAGAGAGGAAAATCTGTAAGCTTCTACCTACTGCCTTAATCTCTTTTCTCCATGATCCTTGTAGGTAAGGAGAAAACAAAGCCTTCAAGCTGGCAAACACTACCCTTTGTTCTGGCTGATTTTCAATAGAAGTAAAAGCACAGTTGATATAAGGAGACTGAAGTCAGAACAACTACAGCTAACTAAGGAACAGTTATCCTTTACCACGACAGTATTTTATAAACCACACAATCACCTACCTTACATAATTATAGGCTTTACGAATTACTTTAAATTAGCCCATCCAAAAAAGAAAAAATCCCCAAACAAGTAACTAAGCTTGATATCAATCGCAAAATGTCACGCATTGTTCTTGCTCATAATCACGACATTTTCTGCAGAACTTGTTTTAGATAATTCTCAACAAGTCATCCAATTTTATCTTGTTCTTGTCTCCTCAGTCCTCTTCATCAACATATGACTGAGGTGTATACTCTGTATAACCGGAACCAAGTAACTGTATTGCAGATTTCTGCTGGCACCTCTCTCTCTTCCACCCACTGTCATTTTTTAAGCCCCCCTCTCCATAGCTGTTGTGAGCCATGCTGGGATAATATTGATGCAGCCCACTCCATTTCAGTTGTGTGATGCAGGGCATTAAGTCAAGGGAAAGGTATTTGTGGAGGGATCTGTTTTTCTCATTTGTGAATGAATTGTTCTGTACACTGAAGTGTGACAACAGTAGCTATCACATTTCTGACTTAATAAAATACCATGACACTTGGTGAGACACTACCTCATAGTCCGCCGGCTGAGCCTATCATGTTACTGGGTAAAACACAGGGAAGCTGGTTAAAGCAAGAATGTGGACCGTGTTTTACTACTTGGTTACGAGACTAATTTTTCATTCTCGCAGAATTTCCTTGAGATCTTAGTGAGTGGGGAATCAGGGCAGGATATCTGGGCTGCTGAAAAGAAGGTCCAGAATGTCTGAATGGAAGTCTGCAATGGAAAACCCAGTTTCCACATCTGCTGACTTTTTAAAACAATACTCTAGGATCTCAGAGGTACGTGATCTGTTGAATGTGCAACCTGTAACTGAGTCAAACGTGTAAGACCTAGTCAATCCTCCAAGCTCCTGGAACGGAACTGTTCTTACTGTTGTGACATCTCCAGGCCAGTCAGTGATACACAATCTGCCTCCAGATGGGAGCAAGCCCTTGGACCCACACAGAAAGGTGCTTGAGCTAGCACAGCTTTGAAATGGTACCACAGGCTTGGAAAAAGCTTCTGCTGCTTCCTTGTGAAATACAAGCTCGTTCTGAGGACGCATGGAGAAGCTCCTTCAGTTACTACTTCTGCTCTCTCTGCATATTCTCTAGGTTAGTCTCTTGCACATGTAGAAACAGCTTGCAGACATACAGGTTGTCCATTTTTGTATCGGTACTGTGTTAGATAATTTTAAAAAACATCTAATGAATTAACTGATCACTTGATCTCGCATCTCGTCTTAAGGTGGGGATAGGGGGTTAACAGTTCCCAGAACAGGAAACCTCCAGGGAGGGCTCTGAAAGGCAATAACCTGTAAACACACTAATCCCCTTGTTTGCTAATTCCTCATTCCCTTCTTGGTCCTGCTGTCCTTCACACTTGCTTTCTAGAGTGCTAGGCAACGATATCTCCAGAGGGAGGATGAAATGTACTATTTTCTAGCTTGTGTTGCACTGTAAACAAAAGGAGCCTGGGAGAAAAAGCACAACCCTGAAAAGCCCAGAGTCCATACTTGAGCTTCACCATGATCTGTAACCGTGGTCAATTCCTATTCTGCCTGATTTCCCAAAAAGGGAACAAAGAGTGAGAAGATTTCCTTTCAAGTGTATTTACTCATATAGTCTATAGCGTGATCAGAGCCCTTTATAGGCCACACCTTGTATGGCCTGCATTTGCAGACAGCAGGGATCTAACCTGCCTGTACTGCAACTGCAGTCAGAGGTGATGTGTCCAACAAGCACCAAAGTGCTACATGAGTAGGTGAATTAGTGTGGTACACCCACATATTTATAATTCGAAAATGCGGCTCAGCAAACACATGCCTCTCGCTTGCCTGGGTTGTGCTTCTAACAACCTCCAGAACAGGGCAATACTTGTGTGGCTGCATGTCCTCAAAGCTGCCCTTGTCAAGGTTTGGTGCCTTCATTCTTTGTTACAGGGCAGCCACACCATTAAGCTGTGTTTTAATAAGTATCGACCCTCCTCCTGCCCAAATCTGCTGGAAATAAATCCATCTTCTAAGTTCTACTACTCAAGAGTTAACTTGCTGGCAGAGAACCCCTTTCTGTAAGAACACCAGAAGTATTTGGTAAGAGTCTAGGCCTAGGGCTTCTCCATTCACCCACCTGCCCTGGAAACTGGGGATCAGCCTCCTGCTATCCTGAGGGCTGGGGGTGAATCTTGTGGGAAATGGGCCTCTGCTACGCTGCAGCACCAAGAGAGGCTGGGCTGTAGCAGCTTATTTGAATGGATCTGCTGGTTCTACTTTTCACACACGCCCAAGATTCCCCTTCTCTGGCATAGCAGGAAAAACACTTCCAGGCAATGTATCCAGGAAGAAGTTGCCTGAATCCCACCCAGGAAGACCCTGAAAACATACAAAACCCTGGCCAACAACAGGGTGCCAGGGAGCAGGATGGCACTGTGTGTGGTTCAAGGCTATGGCACATGTGAGGCGAAGGCAGAATAACAGTGGCCTGACTCCTGTGTTCATTTGGCAGGTTTTTTTTACAGAAGCAAGCTCTGAAAATTCCTGCTATTTATTCATCTGTCATCCACTAAGCTGACAGCTTGCATCAACTGCAGTAATTCATTCTCTTCATTTTCTTAGTTTTCAATGTAAGAGCAGCAAAACAAAGGGCTGCCTAGTTTCCTTGGACAAGTTGACAGTGTGTTGCCATAGAGGAAAGCCCTATTTCTCTCTCCTGTCTTGCTGAAACATTAAAAGAGGTACGATGTGCCACAGCCTGATAGCATTATTTCGGCATAAGGCAAGAATCACGTGGCTTTGATAGAAAAAAACAAACAAACAACTACTTCCAGTTCAGGCCCCTCACTCAGAATTTGAAGCCAATTTTTTGCTAGGCTGTCCAGTCACAGCCTTACCAGGCTAATGAGAATTACATAAATGCTAGCAAGGACTGTGTGACCCTTGCTGTATCTATGGGCAAATGATTTATCCTCATCAGGCACCTTCTAGGAATGTTTCAACAAAGCTTTATACCCTGGCAGCACCTTCTGCTCTGCACAGCACTGAAAACTGCAGACAGCATAATAAACCAGTCCCCCGTTGCCAAAACAAGGTAATAATTGATTTCCTTGTCCAACCTGCCTCTCTGGTGAGGAGAGATGACATTTCTTCTCCCTCACAATTGTCCCCCACACTGAGGCAGCCATACTTTAGCTGCTTCAGTATGCTGGGCACCCCCAAAATGCCTGAACTTGGCTAAGGAAGGATTTATGCCAGAGAAATGTCTTGCTATGTTTAGTATTTCCTAACAAGAGTATTGCTTTAGTACTGAACAGGGTGACAATCCTACCGCTTTCTCTGTTACAGCTTCTTTCACCTGGCCCCACTACAGAATATGATCAGAAATGGTTTCAGCCCTGTACAATTTTAGCTTATTTTGTGTTGCACAGGTCAGTGTTATGCCACATGATGGTGCTAATGCATATGGTAATCTTTTCAGGTCTAGAACTGAAGCAGCTTCTGTGCTTTTTTTTTTTTTAATCTATTTTTTTCTCAAGAATATCATTCACTGTGTCTTTTTCAAGCCTAGCACTTGGTGATGTACAACCCTTAAATACCACTTTGTGAACGCTCAAGCCTGACTTTCATTTACAATCCAAAACCAAGGAGTAGGATGGCTAATGAACAGAGATGGATGACTTCTGTTCTTGGAACACAGAATTTTGTAAGGGACATTCACTTCTTTTGAATCTTTCCTTATCCATCACTTTAATTACTGAAATGCTCAGCTAAAATTGAAACACCTTGGTTTGTCTTTGATTTGAAAAAAAGTTTAGTTTGTTTCACTTGTCAAGCATGAGTCAAAAGGGAAGACTGAAAAAAAACAAACAGATAATTCTCAGTAAGCAAACCCCCAGATTGTAAGGAGACAGGTGGCAGGAAAGCAGGCACCTCCTGTAATGTGTGGAGGAACACAGCACAATTAAGCAGTGAAGGAATCAGAAGTTCTCACTGAACTCATCAGGCACAGAAAAAGTTATCCCATTTTATTCAGCACAGAAACAAACCCTTCATTTTTCAAGTGAAGTGAAAGTCCGCAGAAGCCTACCGAGGGATCCCAGAACTTTTTCCTCCAAACTCCTCCAAGCAGTACTCTTGACTCCAAGGTGCCCACAGCACAAACCCATCCTACTCACTGTAGGTGACTCATTCACATCATTTCTACTGATTGCAAATTAAAACAACTTTTCTTCAGCACTATACAGCTGTTTCTCAGCTGGTGACAGAATTTTGCTTGCATGACTTTGTTTGGATTTCACTATATATTCAAAAGGATTTTCACTTTGTATAAGGAAGGCATAGCCAGACCGTAATAATCTGCCATAATGCAGACAAGGAGGAATTTTTCCTCTTGGTCTTTCATGTAGAAACTCACATAGTTTCATCCTGCAATGTGTCTGCACTTGAGCAGACCTCCTGCTCTGCCTCTGTGTGCAGAACAGAGCTTCCTCAAGAACAGAGACTGTTTTTAAAACCTCTGCATTGCATCATAGCTAATTGCTACCTGCCCCATAGGATCTATGCTAATTTAGCTTAATAAAATTATTAAATAGCAAATTTCTGGAGAAGCAGCAGTAATGTCCTCATTATTAGATTTACTAAAACTGCCAAAAGCCATCATTGTTACTGTGTATTTAGAAAAAAATTCCTTAACAGAATGAAGATGTCAAAGGGACATACTAAAAGTATGCTTCCAATAAACCATCTAAGGCCCATTTCTTTGGGGTCAATAATGAAAGTTTCTTGGCCAGAAAAACAAGTTTGTAGAGCAGATGCAAATGATTAGAAAGAAAGATGCTAAATAAAATAAGCAGCTACATACCTCCAGGTCATTAAAGAACAGATGTGTATCTGCAAGGTTGAAGATCATTTCTTCCATCATAAGACCTATCCGCACAGACGTTGTAGTGTCCTGTTGAGGGAGAATCATTTTTTTTCCCATTCATTTCAATTTCTTTTTTGGGGGTGGGAGATCTTAGACACAGGATCTACACATTCCTTTTTCTGAATATATGGTCATTAAAGTCATTTAATTTCCCAAGTGTATCTTAGCATGATTTTCCCATCCTTTTTTTTTTTTTTTCTCTCTACTAATCAGTTTCTGTTCTCTGAAGGATGGATATAGCTCACCTTATGCATTTCAGCCTGTACATCCAGATGAGTTTAACAAGAACATTTAAACACCTGAGAAGTGTTTCGGTATAAGAAACACTTCTGTATAAGAATTGCTTCAGTAGGTTGGACAAAGAAGTAATTTCCAATAGCATCAGTACACAGCAGCTAGGGTACACAGCAGCTAGGGGACAGTTATAAACAACAGAGCCCACAGAGGGTGATTCTCTCCAGACCCTGTCCTTTGAATCAGCCATAAGAGGCCAGCATTATTCTTTACACATGAAAGTAGACTTTTAACATCAAGCAGCAATACGATGAGCAGAATCTGAAAACAGAGCCCACAAGTTCAAACATAAATTATCTCTCTTTCTCTAAAGCATGCAATCTGCATCTCGGTATGCTTGGGTTAGGTCTTTACTGCCATGCTAACTTGGGTGATGAGCACAGAGCAGGACAGAAAGACAGACGTGTTGTTCCCACATCAGAGCCCACTGTGTGGCACAGTGTCTACTGGCCTTGGTAGCGTAAGTGCACATGGAGATGCAAGAGCAGCCACACTGGTGCAAAGCTCTTCCATCTCTGCTGAAGCTCTCTGTTTATTTAACAGTACCAGCAGAGTTAAAACAATCCCATCCTCCCATGCAAACCCAATTACAGCAGGATAAAATGCTTGTCAAAGTCTGACTATTCTTGCTCAGGACAGGACATGCTCTGCAGTGGCATAAAGCTTACTTGCAGAGCCAGAGATGTCATACTGGCAGTTACACCCAAGTAACTACACCTATTTATAAAATGAAGACAAAACAAGATTGCTTATTACAATGTTGGATCAGTCCATATGCCATTTGAAATGGTGTTAGAAATGGTGACATGCACTTAATTCTCCTGCCTGCATGGACTGACTGTTTCACAGTTTGCTTGTTCTGCAGTTTTCTTGTATCAGCAGTTCCTCCAGGTCTGGGTCCAACTTGGCCCTAACTTGACCCCAGACAGGGTCCCAAACCACTTCCTTAAAGGGAACAGCAAGAAAACAATGCAGAAGCTCTGGCTGCCTACAGAATTTTAAAAACATACTTTTTCATGAATAAAAGAACATGAAAACACACATGCCAGCAGTTCTAAAACAGCTCCTGTACATATTAAGCACCTGTGAAGTTTCTACCATCCTGCTCCTGCTCCTACCAAAATCAGTGACAGAACAAGTACATTCCTGTGCAGCTCTAATGCAGGATGTCCCAAGCAATATGGACCTCCTGTGTGTTTAGTTGATTTACTTTAGAAAATGATTTTTCTCCCTGTTCTTTGCTACCCAGCTAAGACACCACAACTGCCCGTGAGAGGGCCACCACTTCACTTCCCTGCTAAGTCACAAACACAAGCTTCAATCAGACCAAAGCAGCCAGGCTGACTGTTTGGCCAGGGAAGCCGCTCGCAGACAAACCCGTGTAGAATTGACTGTTACTGGCTGACTGCATGTGTGCAGCAAAGCCACTTGGTCCCTCGTGCTGCCCCTGTGGGTAGGGGGACAGTGGCCACTGGGCTCTTACAGCTCTTGGCGTACTCCTTCAAAGCTGCTTCTTGGGCACGGTGTGCAGCGCCGGGGATCTGATGCTCTGAAATACAACCAAGGGACATGCTGCACCCAGCCTGGTGCACTACAGTATTAAATAAACCGCAGCCACTTTTCCACGTCTCCCCTCCTCAAACAACTGACCTTGTTCCTAAACTCACAACAAAAGCACAGACATGTTCTGAGGCAAACTAGGTCTCTAGCAGAAAGTTTTATTATTCATTCAGAATATATTCTTCTTCAAAAATGCAAGTAAAAATGATTTACAGTTAATTTGAAAAACAAGCTCAAAAACATTCTGCCCATTCAAACTAAACAACAACAGAACTTGAAAAAAGAGCACTCCCACAACAGGCTTTTATTTGTAATTCATCTTCATTAGGACAGGGATCTCTCATCTTTACATTCATGTGGGTGGTTTTCCTCCGCTAACGTTACAAGCCATGCTAAAATGTCAGATTTATATGTAGTCTTTGCACTAATTTTCTGCAGATTTCTGTGGAGTCATGTTATTGTATGACAGGACAGTAATGAATTAGCTGAGGAACTCTAACAGGGAGCATAATGTTTGGAGGATGAGTACATTTCAATCAACCTTTGCGGCAGATGCTGTTGACATGGATGGTGTATTACACACTAACCTAATTATTACGCATTCTTGGTGTAGTTCTCTTTAATTAGAGCAGAATGGCTGTGGTTTCAGCCATGTGTGTGACTCACGAGCACTGTGCCCATCTGAAGAAAAGCTCAGTCACTGATGTTTAAACATGCTTATTGCTGTCCCTGAAAGAAGGGCACTTTCTCCTCTGGGCCAAAAGTAAACTCCACCAGGCTTGCCTTGAACATGTCTACCTTTAAGCCCCAAATCTGCTCCCCTGATGAGGGGCAGGGACACAGGTGCAATTAGGGCATCTGACTGTGGCCCCATGTGAACAGCACTGAATCAAATTTTACTACCCAGGTGTAGTTACACGAGGGAACTGTTTTGAAGAAAATATGCTGCTAGGAAGAAATGATTTTGTAAAATAGTTTTTAATGAAGCAATTTATTTTTATACATTTCAAGGATCATTAGCCTTTAAACCTCTTTTAGGAAGTCTCATTTGTTGGTATCTGTCATTTATTCTCTAAGTTTTGTCTTTAGTTTTATTGGTATTAATCACTAACAGGGACTAAGGAACATTTCCACAGTGTATGGAGTTACCTTCTCTTAAACTAAACAATATGGAAATTAAACTGTAGATGAGAGGAAAAAAAACCCAAAAACTCTTTCTCTTGAGATATAGAATATGATGGAATGAAAATAAAACAGAAAAATGCACTTTACCACCCAGAGGGGAAGTCGTTTGGGGAAATGATCTGGCATCAGTGCTTTCACAGTATGGATATTTCCTCTGCAACAAGGCACGCTTCCAAGTCTTAAGCTGATAAAGTTAAAAGGCAAATCAGTGCTCCCAGTATGATGTAGGTGTCTAGAGGCACGAGGCCAGGGTTCCACTAGCAATTATTTATTTGCATTACTGTTGCACTGATCTAGAAGCACTAGTCCCAGACTTGAACCCCACTGTGCTAGTTCTACCCACACAGGAAAAACACAGTCCCTACCCACAGCTTGCAATTCAAGTATGAATAAACAGGAGAATCAGACTGATGGGCAAGCACAAAAATGACACAGGTATATCAATGTGTCGTCAGAATTCTCTGTATACGGTATAAAGAATTGGAAAGAGAATTATGATTTCTTTTTTCCTGAAGATGTTAATGGAGAACTCTTCCTAAGTGTAGATAGAAGTCCTGAAGGACTAAAGCATAAGGCTGTGCTGCAGGCGATGCCCTAGTAGACTGCTAACACCTACGTTAGAGCAGTCTGAGTTTAGCAGAGCAATGGGAAGTTGCTGTATCCATAATGATGACTCCTGCCAAAATGTATTACCATACGAAAAGTGCACCCTGGAGCCCTAGGAACCAGCTTCCTCAATAGCAGATCTAGCCAATGTTTTCTGATGCATGTGAAGCCCAAGAACGAAAGGGCTGTGGTCAGCTTGAAATCGTATCTCCTCCAGGAACCACTTTTTTTTTTTTTTTACAGTGAAAACAGATTCACCTAAAACCTCGACCCTGAGCGTTTGTTCAGTAACATTAGAAGCGCGAGGTCCTACCCCTCTGCTAATCTACAAGTCATGCTTTCACAGACAAGGACAATGAGAGGCAGGGATAGAAAACAGGCAACAAACTCCTATAAATAAAACCTCCAGCACCACAGTGCGTTTCTGTGTGCCTCACCTCTGCAGGGCATATTGTTGGAGCTTTCTTCAGGGTTGATGTTAAACAGCCCCAAAAATTACACGACAGACCAGGCACCCCAACAGAGCTCAGCTCATGACCGATCAACACAGCCTTAATGGGCTTCTTCCCGTCAGCTGGATGGGATAAGCATCACAGCAGTGGTGCTCGTTTTGAAGTACTCATTCCCAAAGAGCTTGATACTCCCACTAACTGCCACACCTTCACTTCCACATTTACCCAGTAGTAGTGTTTCACAGCTGCCCATTTCTGCTCAGCGTACATACTAAGAGAACTGAGAGGTAAAAAGCCCCCACTCCTCTTCACTTCTTTACAAAGTATTAAAACATAAAAAGAGGAAAATAAGCTTTTTTTTTTTTTTTTTTTTTTTTTTTTTTAGAAAAAACAAACAAACAAACAAACCACATTTGGATCAAGTGTGTTGAACCTAAAGTGTATTCCTGGACATGTCTCCCTATTGTGTCTGTCACAGGACCTGTGACTTCTAGCTAAGGAGGACTGATGTGCTGTTGCCTACTGCCGACAATGCTGTGAATGAGATAATTTTCAGTAGAAGTGAGGCACTGCCAGCTCCCAGATCTGTAACTGCTTGCTGCGGGGCAGCTTTACTGCCCTTTCAATGGATAGCTCAGCTCTACTAGAGGAAAACACAGAAAAGAGAAGCCTCTGAAACACTCTTCAGGGGAAGGCAAAAGTGTCCATTCACCAAGGGGAATGTTTTCTTTCTGATCCCAAAAGCATGAGCTGACACATTTGCTCTGAATATTGCTTTTGTGCTGGCTAGTTGCATGCACTGCTCCTCTTTGAACTCATTCTGTAGATGTGAATTGTTACATTTTAAAATCACAATTTTAATTCACTTATGTCCTACAAGCTAAAAACACCCTTCCTAAAATTAATTCTGTTTCCGTTTCATTTTTCTCA